GATTAAATGGTTTTCAATGCATTCCTATGGGAAATGCAGATTCAACATAAGAACTTTTCAACTTGAGAACCACCTTCCAATACGGATTAAGTTCTTAAGTAGAGACCCCACTGTATTTCTCTCTCTATACATAGCTATATGTAGCCTGGTCTCTGCCTCCCTCTGGTGGCCACTTTTGGGATTTTCACCTTTAGAAATCTATACATATTTCTAGGATTTTTCTCTTCATATTTCTAATATTTTCAGACCGCGGATCAGCAAATCAGCAGATCCTTATCCTGCGGATAAATGGGTCCTACTGCTCTGACATTTGAGATTCAAAGGAACAGACAGTCCGCTTCTCTGCATCTCATTAGAGGAAGAGGAAAATATAAATATGATGAATGAATGTTCCCCCCCACCCCCGAACTTTGCAATCGGCCCATGTCTCACCCAACGACCAAGTTAACTGGATGAGTTTAATGGCCAGTTTGAATAATTCAAGGATGGTGGTGGTGGTGGATTTACCTCTGACCTTCATGCTGGGGTCCTTTCCCCCCCCTTCTCCCAACCCCACTCTTCACCCTATAGAACAGCCCGGCTTGTCTAGCCGCTGCCTGGATGATTCAATGTAGGCTTTGTCTAACCGGAGCCATTAAACATGCTTAACCCCTTCCGAGGGAATTACCATATAATATTTATGTCCGTCTTCGCTCCCTCCCTCGCCGGGCCCCTCCCTCTGCCCTCTTGACTCTCCATCATCCTTTCCGGGGTCTCGTTCCAGGAAAGGAATCTCCCAAGAGGAAGGAGGAGGCAACCTTGAGAAGGTGGGTTTCGTGGACGTGATTCTTGGCGGCTCCTTTGTGACCTTGAGGAGACCCCTTCCTTCGGGAAGGCTGTTTGGGGCAATAAGCCACCGGGGTTGTTCCCACTTGACTTTCCAGACTGGGAAGTCGGAGACATCAGCCACCCGCTCTCCTCTAGGATCACTGGATGGAGCCTGAAGGTGCAGGAGCAGTCTACCTTCAAGTCCCCACTGACTCCTTATCTGAATATTATGGAGGGCCAAGAATAAGCGTGTCCCACCATGGCTCCCCATCCCATCGTTCTAAGGAGGACCCACAGGTTGGTGGGGTTCGGCTCTGGCTGCCCGGCGCCCCCGTGTGCGTGTGTTTTGTGTTTGCTTTCTGCTTCCCAGACAACGGGCCCCTTGAGGATGGCATGTCCAGACAACGGACATCTTTTTCCCCAGCTCAGCATAAATTTGGGAGGAGGAAACGCTCCTCCTCCGTCAGCGGTTTCAAGAGATCCACCATGCAGACACGGGCTGGTCACCCATCTTCATGGCTTAAAGGGCAGGGCCAAGACGGGGGCTCATTGGACTGCCCTGCCGCCTGGAAGCAGATGGGGGTGACCGCCTTCTCCTGAAATGTATGCAGACCATGTCTGGGGCCTTTCTGGATGGACGAGGGGTGGGTGCGCTGGTCAGGACAAGGAGCGGGAGGAACAGAGACCAAGAAACCCCGCCATGTTTTGGAAAGTAAAAGTTCAGGGAGCAGGAGACCTGCCTTAGTCAACTGGAAAAATACACACGGGTTGAGCTTCTTGGCCAGGGAGCGTCAGAGAAGCCAACGGCAATATTCCCCAGAATCTGGACTCGGTTATGAGTCCAGACTCCCCACAAGCCATTCAAGGAAGGTTGGCTACTTCCTAGAATCCAAGAATCATGAGGTTGGAAGGGGGCCTCCAAGGCCATCCAGTCCAACCTCTTGCTTAGTGCAGGAAACCCAACCCAAGCAGATCGGACCGATGGGTGTCCAGTTTTCTTTGAGCGTGGGAGCATTCCCGACCTCACTCCCGAGGTCACGGGTCCCGTCGTTGTACTGCTCTGTTAAGAAGTTTTTTTCTGATCTTCTGCCTAAATCTGGCTTCCTTGAACATGTTATTAGGTATTCTGCCCTCTGGGAGGATGGAGGACAGATCCTGCCCCTCCTCTGAACTGGCTCCACTTTGTCAGCCTCCTTCTTCAAGTGTGGTGTCCCCTTGAGCAGGGGGTTGGACTGGATGGCCTTACGGACCCCCTTCCAATTCTACCCTCCAGTCAACCCTGAGCATTCCTGAATCATGTCATATCGACAAGCATGACAGTCCATCACTGTGTCCCTAATCTTCTTCTCTTGTCCACAGGTGATGAGATCTACCCAGAAAGCCATGTTCTCCTGGGCAATGCCACCCCGCCGGACTTTTTATTTCCAAACAAACACCATGAACGAAGGAGCTGTTGGACCAAGGACCCTAAATGATCTTAACAGGTTCTCACACATAGAAACGGCACCTGCTGTCTCACCTGGCAGGAAGGCCATGATGATAACGAGGGTCTATCCCAGCCGGTCAAAAACAAGAGATTTCTGGTCTGTCTGTTTCTCTTTCTCCTGCATGGATGCATTACTTGGACCCCAAAGTTCCTTCCCTGCGTGTGAATGTCGGGAAACCCTTTGGAAATGGTCAGAACCTCCTTTCCCGCCCATGGCCAAATTCAATCGGCAGAACAATTCCCAGCAGGAAGGAGACCCTCTTTGCCGCATGCGGTTTCCTAGCCGATCTGAAAACTTTCCAGAAATAAATTATTCCAGAAAGGAATCTCCCCAAGACCCGAGGAACCTGGTCCAGAAGGAGGGAGGAATCAAATCCCGGGCTTAGGTCTTGGGGAGGAGGGCAGAGAGAGAGAGAGAGAGAGAGAGAGAAGAGGGGGAGAGGGGGGGCTTTAGAAGGGGATAGAATTGGGTGTTCAGTTTGTTATGCTAAGTCCCAAAGTTCCCATTCAGGGACCTTGGAGGAGAGGTCTGAAGAGCAGGCCCTTCACAGGCCCTCCGGCTTTGTCATGCTAAAGCCGTCCGGTGGGGGGGGTGCAGTGCAGCCTCGTGCATCATGCGCCGCCGGGAGCCAGCTGCTCGCTGGGGCATGAAAACACACACACACACACACACACACACACACACACACACACCGTCTGCAGGCTGGGTCGACCTCGGTTCCCCAGCGCTCCTGGAAGAATGGCAGAAGGTGGGGGCCTCCTCTCGGATGCCGGAGCAAAGACAGACAGCGGCCTGGTAGGAGAGGAAGGCCCCCCACCCGTTGCTGTCCAACAGGTGCAGACGGTGTTGAGCTCAGCAGGCTTGTGTGGGGAGGTCCACCGTGGGGTGAAGGTGCTTCAGGGCCAAAGGGTTGGCTGGAGGCGATTAAGGGGGTCCATGGTGGGATGATTCTAAGGTGCTGTTGACTCCTGCAAATGGGGTGTGTCTGTGTGCCAAGCAGGTCCGAGGATGATAGTTAGGCTGCACGGAGGAGGCTACCGTACTGACACATCTCCCCTATGACGGTGAAGGTCATGCCATAACGGACCCAGTGGCAATAGAAAGGAAGAGCTGGAAGGGCCCCTTAAAGATCATCCAGTCCAGCCCCTGTCAAGGAGACCCAGTGGGGGATTCAAACTCCTCACCTCCAGCTCCGTAGCCAGAGACATCAACCGGTAGTGGATGGGGATTCGAACTCCCCACCTCCGGCTCCACAGCCGGAGATATCAACCGGTAGTGAATAGTTCATTCATACTTCATCACAGGAAAGTTCAAACCAACATGAAGGAAATAGCTATAATAATAATGACGATAACAATGATAAACATACAGTGGGGTCTCTACTTAAGAACGTCCCTACTTAAGAACAATCCAACTTAAGAACAGCTCCATTTGCTAAATTTTGCTTCTACTTGAGAACAGAAATCCAAGATAAGAACAGGAAAAAAAACTTTTCCTGCTCTTTTTTTAACCTTAGGTCATCTTAGGTTAAAAAAAAATTCTCCCCATAGTGGTAGAGTACGTATTAACCACCTTTGGTTAACGTACGAACGCACCTCTACATAACAAAAAAACAGCCAGAACGGATTAATTGGTTTTCAGTCCATTCCTATGGGAAATTTTGCTTCAACTTAAGAACATTTCAACTTAAGAACACCACTCCAAAACGGATTAAGTTCTTAAGTAGAGGTTCCACTGTAGTTTCTATGGACGAAAAAGAGCAGATACGGATTAAATGGTTTTCAATGCATTCCTATGGGAAATGCAGATTCAACATAAGAACTTTTCAACTTGAGAACCACCTTCCAATATGGATTAAGTTCTTAAGTAGAGACCCCACTGTATTAGAATATGCCAGTATGGAAACATGTCAGAGCTCCGTATCTGTGGGGGATCAGTTTCAAGCCCTGGTCATTCCATCTTTAGAAATATATATATTTCTGGGATTGTTCTTTTCAATGATTAACAGTCTAAAAAAGGTTAAAAATATTGCAACCCCCCCCCCTAGAAATATAGGCAGTATTTCTAACAATGAAGTTACCACGACTTGAGGCAGCCAGATACCAGGCATTTGTAAGAGAAATATATTTCCATGTTGTCATTATCACAACTGGCCGCTAGAGGGAGCAAAAGACCATGCCATGCAAAGCGTTCTCTGTAATCCGCGTTTTTCAGCATCCGCGTGTGTGTGTGTTTTAGAACCAATCCCTCGCAGATAAGGGAATCTACTGTGCACCCCTGATGTGAATTATACAAGCTTTACTTCGTCGGTGCCCTGCTTTACTTTTGCAGCCAGCTCCACCCACCCACCCACGTCCAAAATGATTTCAAACGTTTCCAAGGGTTGCAGACGCATGCATTAAAAAATAACAAAATAACGCCGAAATCGACCAGCAATGCAAGCCTTCAAACTTTGCAAAAACTGTAAAAATACACACACACACGTAAATCCACTAATGAAAAACTCCAGCACCTTCCAGCACGAATATAAAAACCAGCTGGTTGCCCCACTCAGGCGGAAGAAATCGGGGAAAGGAGGAAAACACTACAAGTCCCAGGATGCATCACGCCTGGCAGGCTGAGAACCGGAAGCAGGTGGCCCTGGTGCTTTAAATAGAACAGGAAAGGGGAAAAAAGCAGCCACGCCTTCCTCTCCGTGCCTGCCCATTGGCTCCTGGGGCTGTCAATCACCACGGGGGTCTTTACCCCCTGTCTCGTTTTGCAAAAAAAGACAGGTTGCAACGTGCCTTTGAGCCTTTAATTTTAATTTTGTTTCCCCCTCTTTGGCTGGAGATCCTTAAACGAAATGGTGAGTCTTGCCTTGGGCCCGCACGGGGGGAGAGGCTGGAAGTGGGGCTGGGGAGGGGGGGTGTTCATCATCCTCATCATCCTGCAGAGCTGGAAAAGAGCCTGTTAGACCATGCACTCTAAGCCCCTGTCGAGGAGGCACTGTGGGAGATTCGAACTCCCAACCCCTCAGCTATCCAGTCCATTAAGAATCCTCCTCATCCTCTTAGAACGGCAGAGCTGGAAGGGACCCCTAAAGATCATCCAGCCCAGCCCCCGTCACGGAGGGCCCCGTGGGGGATTTGAACTCTCAGCCCCCTAAGCTATCCAGCAAAGCTCATCATTATAATTAGGATCCCGTCATTATTCCTGATGCTGAAAATTCGTAAAAGGTGGGCCGTTCCCCCAAAAACCATTTTTTAAAAAAGGACAGGAACTATGAAAGTTGGGGGGGCTTTGATTCTTTTCTGCACGACCCCCAAGATCTCGGCACACGGCTTAAGGAAGGTGATCCTTTTTATACTTCGGATTATTTATGATTTCATTTATTTTAAATATTTTAAACCCGGCTTTCTGCTTAAAAGGGACCCATTAAAAATACGCTTTGGGCTCCCTTTTATGGCCTTCAAAGAAAGTCACTAAAAGCAACAAATACAGTATTTAAAAGTTAAAAGTAGTAAGGATACAAAGTTTCAAAAAGGATTAAGCAAAAACTATGTTAAAAAAGTAACGTCAAAGAAACTATCTAATGTTTACTTGCTTTTAGTTTAATTGTATTTTAATTAGCGTATAGTTTTTAATTGTATTTTAATTAGCGTATAGTTCCATTGGTTTTTTTTAATGTTTTATCGATAATGTTTTCAGTTCCGTTCTTTTTGATATCGAGAGTGTATTTTAATTAGCATATAGTTTATTAACTGATGGTTTTTTTTAATGTTTTACTGATGGCATTTTCAACTCCATTCTCTTTAATAGTGACATTTTATTATAATGACTGTATAGTTTCATTGGTGTTGTATTTTATTTTATTTTTTCTGATGTTTTATCCACAGTGTTTTCAATTCCCTTCTTTTTAATCTTGCCAGCCGCCTGGGATCCCCTTGATCTGGAGAAAGGCGGCCTCTAAATAGAGATCAATCGATCAATCAGTTCATTAATCAATCAGGCATCTATCCATCTACCCGTCTGTCCATCCATCCATCTGTGCAACCCCCTGTCATCTGTCCATCATCCATCCATCCAACCATCTATCTGTCCATCCATTCATTATTTTAAATATTTTAAACCCGGCTTTCTTAAAAGGGACCCATTAAAAATATGCTTTGAGCTTCCTTTTATGGGGAGAAAGGCGGCCTTCAAAGAAAGCCACTAAAAGCAGCAACTCCAACCGTCCATCATCTGTTCATCCATCTATCCATCATCCAACCATCCATCTACCTCTGTCTGTCCATTCAGCCATCCATCATCTGTCCATCTATCTCTTTGTCTGTCTGTCTGTCTGTCCATACGTCCATCCATACGTCCATCCATTCATCTGTCCATTGAACCATCTGTCTGTCCATCCGTCTGTCCAACCATCCATCATCTGTCCATTTTCCATCATTTCTCTATCCAGTCATCATCCCTCCAACTGTCTGCTTGTCTGTCTTTCTCTCCGTTTTAATTGTATTTTAATTAGCGTATAGTTTCATTGGGTTTTTTTATATTTTACCGATAATGTTTTCAGTTCCGTTCTTTTTAATATCGAGAGTGTATTTTAATTAGCATATAGTTTAATTGATGGGTTTTTTAAATGTTTTACTGATGGTATTTTCAACTCCATTCTCTTTAATAGTGAAATTTTATTATAATGACTGTATAGTTTCATTGGTGTTTTATTTTATTTTATTTTTCCTAATGTTTTATCCACGGTGTTTTCAATTCCCTTCTTTTTAATCTCGCCAGCCGCCTGGGATCCCCTTGATCAGGAGAAAGGCGGCCTCTAAATAGAGATCAATCGATCAATCAATTCAATAATCAATCAGGCATCTGTCCATCTACCCGTCTGTCCCTGTCCATTTTCCATCATTTCTCTATCCAGTCATCATCCCTGCAACTGTCTGCTTGTCTGTCTTTCTCTCCGTCCGCCGTCCGTCCGTCCATCCATCCATCCATCCCTTTGTCTCTCCATCATCCATCCATCTGTCCATCCATTTAGACCCTTCCTGATGCTTATTTCGGTGTCCAGGCTACATTTTCTCAGCAATTCCTTCCTTCACCCAAAGCATTTACCTCAGGAGTTTATAACACCCGTTGCTTTGATTTTTTTTAAAGCTTTCCAAGCCGTTTTCCTCCCAATCGACCTCAGGACGTTCATCTACCCGTCTGTCCATCCATCCATCTGTGCAACCCTCTATCATCTGTCCATCATCTGTCCATCATCCAACCATCCAACCATCTATCTGTCCCTCCGTCCATCCATCCAGCCCTCCATCATCCATCCTCCGTCATCTCTCTATCCAACCATCATCCCTCTGTCTTTCTGTCTGTCCATCCAACCGTCCATCATCTGTTCATCCATCTGTCCATCAAACCATCCATCTACCTCTGTCTGTCCATTCAACCATCCATCATCTGTCCGTCCATCTATCTCTTTGTCTGTCTGTCTGTCCATACGTCCATCCATTCATCATCTGTCCATTGAACCATCCCTCAGAGAACGTCTATGAGGGACTAAAGTCCTCTCAGGGTCTCCTTAGGTCACCCGGAATGTTTTTCCTCAGGGAAAAAAAACACTCTTTTGGCGGACGGTCCCTCCCTCAGCTTTCCGAGCCATTTCTTCCCCCCAATTTGCCTCAAGGTTTTACCTCAGAGAAGCCTGTGGGCGGAGAAGGCAATGGACCCATTTTTTGCCTCAGTGTTCCTATGGCCCAAATCACAAATAAGATGGTGGAGAATTATACATATAAAATAAAAGAAAGTATATAATTTAATGCATTACAGTTGATGACCGGGAGAATAAATATAAATCATTTAGATTTATGTACACAATTTAATGCATATAATTAAATCCATATATATTATATATTGTATATGCATATAATAAAATGCATTATATATATATGCATAATATATGTGCATTGCATAATATATTATATAAGGCATATAATTAAATGCATATATGCACATATTATATATATTGAACCCCCGGCATGCTTTTTTCTCCCCCTGGTCACAGGCAGTAATGGGGGTCCAGCTCGTGGCCTCCCTCTTCGTGGCCAGCATCATGCAGAAGATGGCCCCCCACTGGTCCTTCTCCCGGTGGCTGCTGTGCAATGGAAGGTACTAGACCCCTGGCAAGGCAGACATGTGGCTGGAGCAGAGGGTCAAAACTGGGAGAGAGAGAGGAGTGGAGCATGGAGTACGGAGTACGCAGCTTGGGGGGAGGAGGCACTCTGTCTGAATCTGTGACCCTGAATACCAGGAAACACCCCCTTGATATCTGCAGGGGATCGCTTCCAAGTCCCCTGCGGATGCTGAAAAACGCAGATAATAGAGAACAGCCTTTTAAGGGCAAACAGGAGCCATAACATGGGTCTCTGGCTCCCTCCAATGGTCAGTTCTGGGCACTTCATCTTTAGACATCGTGAATTCTAGGACTTTTCGCGGGTAGAGTTAATCCGCGGATACAGACCCTGCGGATAAGGGGCTGCAGAGGGGTTGAGTCACAGGGTCCTTTCTTTCTCTCCCTCTTGCCAGCCTCTATCGCTACAAGCACCCGTCCGAAGAGGAGCTGTTGGCCCTTGCGGGCAAGCAGAAGCCGAAGGGCAAAAGGGACCGGTGAGTGACCGGGGGGGGCTTGGACCTTCCGCCACCTTGGCTGCCCCATTGGCCGGGTGAGAGGTGGGCTGCTGGAGAGGGTCGTGGGATTGAGTGCCCACGGGCAGGCAAATTTCGTCTCCAGTAGACCTCCACCCCCCTGTATCCGCCTGGGGGTTGGTTGCAAGCCTTCCCGTGGATGCTGAAGAATGCAGATAATAGGAAACACTATCCGTATCATTGTCTCTGTCTCCCTCTAGTGTCTGGTCCTCATCACTTCACCATTAGAAAAAATGGTGTCCCAACCTTTCCATTTCCTATTTTGCCCTGACCCGAGCCTGATTGAGGAGGACCCCTCATGCCGGGCTTGTCTCTCTGGCCCTCTCTAGGCGGATCAACGGGGTGACAGACGAGAAGCCTCCCTCCGTTCCCAGGGACATCGACCTGCGGCTGGAGAGCTGCCCCATCACGGCTGTGGACGCCCTCGGTAAACGGGCGGGGAAGGTGGCTGGACGTCCCAAATGTGGCCGAACCTTTCTCGGGCCAAGCGGGGGGGCGCACTGGCTTTCCTGTTTTGAATCAGCCTCCTCCCCCCCCCCCGTCTCGGCGATGCTGGCGGCGTTGCCGAACGGCCCTAAACAGAGACCCTCGGTGGGACCGGAATCCTCCCGGCTTTTGGACGGTTAATCATCTTGGTTTTTTTTACTTCCTGCTCAGTGCTGTGCTATTTCCTGGAATACCAGTGGTACGTGGATTTCGGCGTCTACGCCACCCTTGTCTACCTCTTCACCGAAGCCTACTACTGCCTGGTGGACCCCCAGGAGGAAGCCAACATCGGAATCCTTTGGTGCCTCCTGACGGTCATCTTCTCGGTGTATCCGCCACCCTTGGCTTCGCCCTTGTGGCCGTTGGTTTGTTAATTACCTTGACAGTCCGCTTGTCTTATTTATTTTATTTTATTGGACTTCTGCCTATCTAGACCCAAGGTCCACTCTACCCATCAGTGGATACAGATTCTGTGGATAAGAGGGTCCCATTGGGTTTCCCCCGCTTTCGCGCAGCCTGCTTTTCTTTCTCCAGCTCCACTCCATGGAAGGCATGTTGTTGTTGTTGTTGTTTTGAACCGGGCAACGGTTTTGGAAAAGGGGTGGGGGTGAGGGTGCGTATGTCTCCGAATAAATGCAGATTTTAAACGGAAACCGTTCAGCCTCCCCCGGAAGAAGGGGTACCTCGGTCACCAGAGTTGTCTCCTTAACGCCCACCTCCAGCAAAATCTTTTCCATGGTGATGCGCCATTACTTCCGCTCCACGGAGGGGGGCGAGCGCTCGGTCTGCCTGGCCTTCTCCTTCCTCCTCCTCCTGGTAGCCATGCTGGTGCTCGTCATCCCCGAAAAATACCTCGAATTGGGCCTTCACGCAGGTAAGCATAAGGCTTCGGTCGGCAGCCGGCATTCCGTCGGCTCAACCCGGCGGACCCTCCGTGCCTTTGAACCCGCCTTTTTTGTAAGCCGCCTGGGGTAGGGGGGTAAATATATATTTGAAATAAACAAACCCCCAAATGCATTTTTTTTTCTTCTCTGCCAAGGGCTGGCCAACGTGCATGAGAACTTGGAGCTGTTCTTAAAGGAACAAGGATGGGAATGGATGTAAGTGGAGCCTTGCCAGGCAGGAGTCTTCAACACGGATTGAAGTTCGTTTCCGTCTACACTTGCTCTTTGCAAAAACAACAACAACAACAACAACAACAACAACAACTTGTCACTTTGAGTAACTTCTGACTTTTTAGACATTTCCAGTAGGGGGAAGAAGGGAGGTTAGCGACATTACATCAGTGAATACTGATCCTGTGGATACAGGGGTCCTGCTGTCTTTCTTAATATTAGAGCAGAAATAATAGCAACCTTTTGAACTTTTGGGGGAGAAACATGCAATAAGTTATTGCTTTGAATAGTCATTTTTGGAGCTGCATACCCTTTACTTCCTAAACGGAGACACTCAGAAAGTCATTTGGAATAGCAACTTTTTTCCCCACTCCAATTCACAATCTGGATTTTTCCAGATACTGTACATTCCTTTTGAGTCTTTCTCTCCTCTTCCCACCTTATGCAACGTTGCTTCCCCCCCCCGCGCCTTTTCCAGGATCCCTGTGAGTAAGCTGACCATCAGACTGGTGCTTGTAGGCCTCTGCTCGTTTATTGGGGGCTGTTTGACCTTCCCTGGACTACGGCTGGCTCAGACCCATTTGGATGCCCTCAAGATGACCGCCGATCGGCCGATGGTCCAGTTACGTAATAAACCTTTGTGGCTTCAGATCCAAGGCAGGGGAGGGGGGGCTGGAGAACTGATTAAACTTTGGAGGGATTTTGATTTACACAAGAACAATACAGGGTGCTCCTTGTGTCTGCAGGGGATCGGTCCCAAGACACACACCCCCGCGCGCCTGCTGAAAAATGCAGATGATGGCTCTGAGATGAGGTAGTCACCACAGAGTATTCTCTGCGCATCTGTGTGCAAGCGCAAAACACTGTGTGTGTTTTTTCCTCCTCTCTCTCCTGCAGGCTGCTGCTCCACGCCAGCTTCCTTGCACCTGTGATCGTTGTGTTCATGTGGATCAAGCCCATTTCTCGGGATCTCTTGCTGAAAGCCCCCATGGGCAAGGAGACGGTCCAGATGTAAGTGACCGTGAGAAATCTCCTTCCTGTCTGAGCAATGCCCGACCTGCAAGCTTGTTGTATTTTTCTTTCTTTCTTCAGTCGTGCTTCCAGTTTAACAGTGCTTTAGGATTTGCCGCTGGCTTGCCGGAACGCACCAGTTCCAATCAGACCTCTCCTCTGCTCCCTTTTTCTGGGGCATGCCCTGGTCCAGTTGTAATGGCTCAAATGCTCGCACCCAACCGCCGACTGGTGCCTTTTCTCCTCCCTGCAGCATGTCCGACGCGACGTACAATTCTGTGCGCCTCTGGACCGTTGTGCTGTTGTGCCTCTTGCGCCTGGCGGTCACCCGCTACCACCTCCAGGCTTACTTGAACCTGGCAGAGCGGTGGGTAGAACGGATGAAGCGGGAGGCCGGCCGGATCGCGGTCCTCGAGATACAGCGGAAGGTAACCATTGCTTGGTCTCTCACATCTCATCAAAATGGCGTTTCAGATGAGTTGAAGCCCTATAGATGCATTTTCTAAGAGATGTCTTACATATGAGTTCTACCGTAGCCTCCCCCCTCCCCAGTATCTGCAGGAGGCTCACTTTCATGTCCCCTCCCCCCACGTGGATGCTGAAAAACGTGGATTATAGCGAATGCCGGTTTTAGAACCAATGCTCTACATATCGTAGTCTCTGGCTCTGTCTAGCAACCAGCGATTGTAACTTAATATTTAGAAAGACATATTTCTAGGATTTTTCTTTGAATATCGTTAATATTTTCAAACCGTGGATAAGTGAATCAGTGGATGCTGATCCTGCGGATAAGGGGGTCCTACTGTAATTGCCACCTGGTCTCAGTCATGAATGCTTTCCATTAGCTAATTACTTTACCTGTTGGCCGGATGCTTGTCTCCTTCACACATTGAACCGGCGGGCTGTATGTGTGTGTGTGTTCTAGCAACCCTAATAGGGCTTTCAAGGTAAATGAAATGATCAAGGGGCCCTTTTACCATTTCCACTCCCCCAGTGAGTTTTCTTGGCTGAGTGGGGGGATTCGAACTCAGCTCTCCAGTGTCCTGCACCAAGCCCCACCCCCCACCCCCGGAATCCCAGTGCCATTTGTTTGCAGTCAGCAAAAACTCGTATAAACACATTAGTCTCAGTTGGTTTATTTTCTTCTTATCGAAGGCAATGTTCTGGTTTCTTTCCTTCTTTTTTCCAGATCACCCGGATTTACTGCTACGTAACTGTGATCAGCCTGCAGTACCTGGCCCCGATCCTGCTCACCTTCCATTCTACGCTCCTTCTCAAAACTCTTGGTACGGAAGCTGTCGAGTTACCGGTCTTCTTCCTCTAAGACAATTCAACATTTTAAAAAAATTTACAGCAGGGTCCGTCTTATCTGCGGGATCCGTTTCTCGCCGTTTCACTCGTCCACGGCCTGATAATATTTAAAATACTGAGAGAAAAATCCCGAAAATGTATATTTCTAAAGATGAAGTTACCAGAACTGATGAAGAGAGGGAGCCAGAGACCAGGCGATGTAATGTGGCCACTTCCGGTAACTTCATCTTTCGAAATATATGTGGGTTGGTTTTTTGGGGGGAGGGTGGGGGTTAGTTCTTTCAGTATTTTCAGATTGTAAGCGGATATTGATCCTGCAGATAAGGGTGCCCCACTGTATCCTAAAATTGCCTACCTTGTAGCTCTAATTCTGGGTGGTTTCTGCAACCCTACGTTGCAAGGATTTAAGCCGCCCTTTCCTGGTGCACAAGGCTTAAAAGTTATTTTTCCTTTTTTCTCAGTGACGTCGCCGGGTATTAATTGGAATTTATCTCCCTGGGGGCCAACCCTTTCTCCTCTGCTGTTTTGCTTGGATTTTTTTTTTTAGGCGAATACTCTTGGGGTCTGTATCCGGAGCCTGCCTTGACCTCCCCAGCCCTTGACGCTGCTCCTGCCCCCCAGCTCTCTGACGAGGCCGGAAAGGACGACGTCCGAGCTGCCGTGGAACAGATCACAGGGATGCTGAGCGCTCTGCGCGCCCTCTTCACACCTCTTTTCTACCGGGGCCTTCTGTCGTTCTTCACCTGGTGGGTGTCTGCCTGCCAAGTGGTGGCGGCTCTGTTTGGCCTCTATTTCCACCAGCACCTGGCCACATCCTAACTGCTGGGGACTCCGGTCCTGAACAGCCATCCTCTTGCTCAGGATGGCCTCGGATGTCCCTTTCTGGCCGTGGGGGCCAATGGGTCACCATCCTTTGACCCGGGGCTTCCTCAACAGCTACCTGGCATGGAAGAGAAAACTGTTTTACCTGCGCCGATGTAGAAGCGCTTGGATAGGAAACATAGCCATCAGGACTCCTGTCTCTGCGGATACTGAAAAAACGTGGATAAGGAATGCTATACACAGTGTGCTCTCTGGCTCCCTCTTGTGGCCAGTTTTGGTAACTTCCTCTTTAGAAACTGATTTCTCGCATTTTTCTATTTGACATTTTTAACATTTTCAGACCGTGGTTCAACAAATCAGTGGATATGGGTCCCACAGATACAGGGATCCTACTGGATTTGACCGGATTACCTCTCTCTCTCTCAACAACGTACAGTACATCCATTTTTATGTTCTCTAAAAGTTGATAATACATTAGAAAAGGATGCCGATTTGTGACTGGGTTCTGTTCTATCAAAAGAAGGGGCAGGAATCTCGGTCAGTTGCCAGATTTTATTGCAAATCCAGTTTTAGGTCAACCGCCTGAGACACGGCACGGCCTCTGGCTCCCTCTTGCAACCAGTCCTGGTGGCTTGAAGTTTAGAAATATATATATATAGAGAGAGAGAGGATTTTTCTTTTAATATTTTCAGACTGTGGATAAGCGAACCAGTGGATACAGATCGTGCAAATACGGGGGGTCCCAACCAATGTGTTTTTGGGCTTGGGTCAACATGGGGGTTCATTTTAGACCCTCTGTGGCATGTGGGGGCAAGCTGCAAATCCTCAAAATGTCTGGGGGAGGGAATCAAGCGCACACCACAATCTGGAGAAATGGTTTTTGTGATTAAAAATACCTCCTTCTCTCGAAGTTTTTTTTTTACAATGTTCGTTGCTATAAACTAAATGTCTGGGGGAGGGAATCAAGCGCACACCACAATCTGGAGAAATGGTTTTTGTGATTAAAAATACCTCCTTCTCTCGAAGCTTTTTTTTTTACAATGTTCGTTGATATAAACCTTGATAGAAAAACTTCCTTGGCCACCGACCGGCCTCTCTGCTGTTCCCCCCCCGCACAGGATTCCCAACCCATGGAGAGGTGTCCCCCCCCCTGGCCTTTGGTCATCCACGGTGGGTGAAAAAAAGAGTCAGCTTTCTTCAGCGCCAGCCCCTCCGCCACCCCACCCCAGGGGTGCCCAAGGCCGCCTCAGGATCGTGGCCTAACCGGTGGGGCACCGAAGGGCGCTGGGGGAGGCTCGCTGGGCATCGGCCACCTGTCCCGACCCATCCTCCAGTCACGCTCAAGGGCAGAGGGTTGGCGGGCCGTGTGCTATTTTAAGCAACGTGTTCCCTTCACCTCCAAACATGTGGCCAAAATTCTCTACAAGTGATCGAGGGGGGGGAAGGGGGCGTGTGCTGACCAGTCAGATCACGGAAGGCTCCCCTCTCCCCCACCCTGCAAGGCTTCCCCACCCTTTTTGTAACCCCACTCCTCCAGGGAATGACACCCCCTGCTCTCCTCCTGTTCTCTTGGACTCCGTGCACCGGCAGAGGGGCGTTGCAGTCTGATCGGCCCGCGGAGGGCAGGCCCAACGTCTCCTCTGCCACATCCCATTGTCGCTTCGGGATACTGACCCAATTTCGGGGAGGTTTGGAGACAGGAGGCGCCTTGCTATTCAAGTGAGGTGGAGTCTGGACAGCACGGCCCCCAAATCTGCGGGGGATTGGTTCCAGCCCCCTGCGGATGCTGAAAAACACGGATAACAGCAAACACTATGATAACAAAGAACACCATACATAGTCTGGTCTACGACTCCCTCTCGTGGCCAGTTCTGGTAACGTCATCTTTAGAAATCTATATTTCTAGGGGTTTTTTAAAAATATTTTTAATATTTTCAGACCGTGGATTAGTGAGTCCGTGGATACTGATCCCGTGGATACAGGGGTCCTACTGTCTCTGTAAGGCCACAGCACCACCTGGAACGAGCAACTGAGGCATGCTGAGAGTTGGGAGTCCTTCGGACCCCCCCCTTTCCACCGAAGGCTCTTCAGTCCGACTACCGCAGCCTTTAAAAAAGTGTTTATTTCCAGCTTCGCTCCGAAAAGCAATCATCCTAACGCTGCTGGTTGAGATCATGTTTCGGAGGCCAGAGCTTTCCAGACGGAGGCCTCGAGAGTTCCAATGCCTCTCTCCTTTGGGGAATCCACCCTACAAGGAAACAGGACTCCGTGTCTTTGGTTTCGCTCCTTAAAGCCGGCCCGCTTGGCCCAATGTGCAAAAAAGTGATGATTAATGAAATGTTTTAAAGAGTCTGGTGGGGGGGGGTCCAGAGACCCTTTGTTCAGGTTTCTAGAGAAAAAAACAAAACAAAACCAGTGGCTTAAAAAAAGGGAAAAACACCAGGGTGGAGGAGGTAGGATCGTTCCCACCTCTTGCGTCTTGGGTAAGTTATCTTCCGAGGGGAAAAAAAAGGAATATAAACCATGAGACACGGAGGACACGGAAGGAAGGACCCCGCGTGGCGTTTGACAAGACGTGGCTTCCGAGGAGCCACAGTGGCCTCCTGAGGTTCACGGTTGGGGGAGATCCTGGGTCCGAAGATATCTGCACGGCTCCATGGGAGAATAACTAACACGGATGTATACAGAGATGCTCTCTCCTCCGTCCCTCAAGGGGCTACCCGGAGAGCCTGGCTGGGTTTGGGAAGGAGTTCCACCAGAGGTCCGGCCACGAGAGGCCGAGCGGACCTCCTCCGTGGCAGCCTGCCCGGCCGCAACACAGGCCACTACCTCTCCATGTCCACCCCGCGCTCCCACTTCCGGAAGAGGATCGTCATGAGGTCGAACGTCATAAAGCTGATTCCCACCGCGATGGGGCCCTTCACCCAGTTCATGCTGAGCCCTTTGTAAAGGCCCCGGACCAGTCCTTCCGCGCGGATGATGTCCCGCATGGTGTGGATGATGGACCCATAGGTGAAGCCCATCACCCCGGCTGTCTGCATCCGTCGGCGGACCACGTCCAGCGGGTAGGAGGCCGACTGCCCGACCAAGCCGGCGCACGCTCCGAAAACGAGGCGCTCTACGGGGTACGGCTGGGACCTCCCGCTCTGCTCTGCGGGGGGAGAGAAGAGAGACGTCAAAATGAGTGGTTTGTTCATTTTAAAATGCTTGGACTCCACTTTTCTCCTTCAAAGAACCCAAGGGGCCGGCTGACCTGCGTGCAACTTCTTCAAGGTCTCGTAGGTGAAGAAACTCAAGCCGGCGTAGGGAATCACCCCGAGGATCGTGGGGACGAATCCCTGATAGAGAGTCTTCAGCCCCTCCTCGCGGGATATCCGGATAAAAACGTGAACAATGTTGCTGTACCTGAAGGCGAAAGGCCGAATGGGGTGGGCATGAGTTCCGCAGGCGAAAGGGCCGGCCAGCCATTCACAGGGAGACCAGGAAGAAAGGAAGGGGGAAAAAAACTCTTATTTTGAGGGTAGAAATTGTGGCCTCAACATTTCACTGTGGTATCCATGAGGGATTGGTTCCAAGCGTTCCCCCCCCCCCGCGGTGGCCGAAAAATGTGGATGTCACGAACGCCATATGCAGCATGGCTTCTGGCTCCCACTCGAGTGGTTTGTTTGGATCAATACACTCCAATGTATTTCTGTCTTTTTTTAAAAAAATATTTGTTTGTGCCAGGAGATGGTATGCACACCCGCACGCGTGTGTCCCTCACTCACATCTCTTTTGGGGTCACCGCCATCCGGGCGCGGACCAAGTCCAATGGGTATGTCACCATGGCGGCCGTGGTGCCGGCGAGTGAACCGGCGATGAACCTCGGCAACGGGGTGAGGGCCCTGTATGGAACAAACAAAAACACAACATTGATGAGAAGAGAGGATTAATAGACACACACACATCCAGCCACCCTCAGCGTGTACCATCTCCACAGGGAATCGGTTCCAAGCCCCCGCGGATGCTGAAAAACGCGGATGACACAGAACTTTATTTTAATAGTGAATGCTATATAAGCGACCTGGTCTCTGTCTCCCTCCAGTGGACAGCTCTGGTCAAGACGTCATGAAAAGAGAGTCTTCTGGTTATTGCTATAGAGAACTTAGTTTCCGCCTCCTTTTTCTGGCCAGTTCTGGTTACTTTGCCTTTAGGAATACATATATAACTTATCTGTATAGGATTTTTCTTAATGTTTTCCAACATTTTAATATTTCTAGGCCGCAGATCAGCAAATCCGTGGATACAGATCCTGCGGCTATGAGTGCCATTTGAAAGCCAGGAGCTGTTTGAAAGGAAATTCCCAGGGCCAAAATGGGGCCAAGTGGCCGGGCTCTCTCGACCGGTGCGAGTCGAGAGGGCTGTCGGGGGGAGGGGTCAAGTGTCTGACAACCCCCCCCCCAAAGAAGGTGCTTCGCTTGGGGAAACCCGGCTCCCCCTCAGCCATTCCCGGGGACAACCCTTACCTCCCCTGGTAACCGTAATAGGTCCCCAGCAGCTGCTTGTACTCCTCGTGAGCGCAGAACTGAATGGCGGCGTAAGGGATCACCCGCACCATGGTAGCCGAGTTGCCTCGCCAGAGGCTGAGGAAGCCGCTGGTCAGGTAGGTGCGGTAGATCAGGCGGTAAGCCTCCTGGAATAGAACAAGGGGGGGCGGTGAGCAGGAAGGAGTCCCGGTATCCACAGGGAAGCTGGTCTGGATTAACCTCCCCCCTACACACAGAGGGGAAGCTCCCAGTCGGCCACCCCCTGGCCACATTGGGCCGCCAGGAGGCATGCAACGAGGCAAACCGGCGGCCGGCAGCCAAAGGAAGACGGGCTGGGAATGGGGGAGGGGGAGGATGTCACCGCTCACCCCTTCCCCAAAACCTACAGATTTATTTCTCTCGGGGGTGACCCCCTCAAACCATCGTCCCCAGGGCAAGGTGTTCCTATTGCCATCTGCCTTTGGCCATGGGGCAGTTGTTAATGGACTGCAGTAGGAATACTCGCCCCCCCGCCCAGTATCTGCAGGGGGTCGGATCCAAGCTTCCCTCACGGATACTGAAAAAAGCGGATGACCGGAGACGCTATTTTAATAACGAGCCGTAAACACAGCCTGGTTGCTAGCTCCCTCTCATGGCCAGTTTGGGTCACAGGATGGTGGTGGGGAACACTGTTATTGTGTTGTAAGTGTATATGTTTTATGTATATGATTTGTTTTTGTTATAGTTATAAATAAAAAAAATCAGTAAAAAAAAATCTACATTTCTAGGGTTGTTCTATTCATCTTTTCAGACTGTGGATAAATGAATCAGTGGATTTGGATCCCATGGCTCTGGGGGGTCCGATGGTGCTCAGTTAGATGCCGGCTCAACCAAGCTATCGAGGAGAGAACAACAGCTTGGCTTACCTTGGCAGAAAACCGGTTCGATGACACTGGGGGGAAAAAGATGAGAAGTGACACAATCATACAAGTGTTGTGGGTTTGAGACCCACAACCAACCAACCCGTGTAACAGTTCTGAGATACTGTTATCTGAGAGAGAAGTGTATTGGAGATATGGGGTGTGTGTGTGTGTGAGCAATCAATCAATCAATCCAGGACCGTATGAATCCTGCCAACAAATCTCCTCTCCCTCTCCTCCTGCTTCCGATCCTCCTAAGCCGGCGATAAGCGGATTTTTAAGGAATCAAATTCAAACCCTTCCCAGAAGAAAATCTCATTCACGGATTAATTCTCAAACAAGAGAGGTTTTTATTTTTCTCCCTCCCTTTTAATCTGGGTCACCCACGACGTTTGAAATCTGGGACCTCTCAGCTTTCCTGAGTGTCGGAAGAGAAAACCCACAGCAACCCTCTGGCTTGTAATCCTCTCCTCCCAACGCTCTCCGCCCACAAAAAAAGGCTTTGCATCCCCATTGTTTCCAGCTTTAAATACGGCCTTTTAAGGTTTTGAATGGAGTATTTCTGTTTAAGGTTTTTGATATTTTTCCAACCCCGGAGAAGTGACTCGGTGGATACCGATTCCGCGGATACATGGGTCCCTCTGGACCCACTTGGCAAAGCACCGTGTCTTTGACTGCCGCAAGCTGAGGGACTTCTTTGGCCCTGGATTTGGAGGCATTTCAGCAGCCAACTTTCCAGCAATCAGAGCCATCAACACCTCAAGACAGATGGCAGAATGAGCATGCCTTGGGGACACCTGCCTCTCTCATCATACCTTGGAAGATGATTTTTGTCCTGTCCAACGGCGCCACCGCTGTTTTGGCCACGGCGCCGGCCACCGCCCCGGACACCAAGTTCTGGAAGGAGCGTGTCTTCCTCTCGTGGACGTTCTGGAACCAAAGACCCACGTCAGAGGGAGGAAAGAATAAGCAAGACACCCACCCAACCGCAAGGGATGACTGATGATGAGTCAGAGTTCCAGGAGAGGGTGTTGTTTTGACCCCAAGTTTGGCCCCTATAAAATTCCTAACCTGACACAGCAGGACCCCCCTATATCCGCGGGGGAGTGGTTCCAAGCCCGCACAGATGCTGAAAAATGTGGATAATAGCAAACGTTATTTTAACAACGAACGTGGTCCATCGCCTGGTCTCTAGCGCCCTCTTGTGGCTGGCTCTGGAAACTTCCTCTTTAGAAATGTACAGTATATTTCTAGAAACATTCGTATTTTCGGACCCATGGAAAACAACGTGTTTTTCATCCTCTGCAGGAAGCGGGTGGGCTTGGAACGATTCCCACCCCCCGCGGCTACTGGGGTCCTACCTGACTTGCCGCCTTCCACGCCGGTCCTGGCCACTCACCTCCGGCAATGGGTGTCCGTGAAATCGGGCTTCTGCATCTTTCTGTCTGAGACCGACGTGACCTTCCAGTGCCGGATCATTACCCATTCCAGCCTCACGGGCTCACGCGGAAAGGGATCCGGCTTTCCTGAAGTGCAAGAGAAAAAGGAAGAGGTGTCAGAAAAAAACGAAAACGGATTCGGTGTCTTTGAAGAGTGCTCTCCTGTCTACCCTCCATCTTCTTTTCTCAAGGCTAAACCCGCCTGGTTCTTTCTCCGTAAGGCTTGGTTTCCTGTCCCATCCTCCTCCTCCTTGCCCTCCTCTGAAGTGGCTCTTAGTTTGTCACTATCCTCCTTGAAGTGCAGCGTCCAGAATTCGGCCCAGGACTCAGCCGACTCGGACTCCCAACAGCAACGACAATACACCAGCCAACGCTTTGCTCTTGTGGCCAAGCTGGGGTTTTAATCTCCAGCCCACACCGTCTGCGTTTTGGCTTTTTAAGAATTCAGCCACCGGATGGTCTTTTTTCCGAACCCCCTTCGCCGAGGAAAAGCGCCGGCTCTGAATGCCACGCTGAGAAAGCAGATGGCCGAATCGTTCAAGGGGTGGAGGGTGTCTCTCTGGCGACGGAGCCAGAGGTTGGGGGAGTTTGAATCCCCCCACGGGGACTCCTGGATAGGGGTTGGACTAGATGATCTCGAGGGGTTCCCCTTTCCAGCCCTGCCATGACGCGCCCAGGCCGAAACCAGAGACGCTCTTAAGCCCTTGGCCGGCTTGACCAAACCTAAGGAACAGAAGATCTTGCTATTTCGGTCCGCACCCAGAGACCACAGCAGAGGCCCGCCTGTCTTTTTTTTCCCCTCCCCGTGAGATTAAGCAGGTGCATGCCGCTTTGGAAGGAATAAAAAAGGAAATTAATTGGCAGATGGGCGGACCACGGTGGTCAGGAAGTGCCCGAAAAGTGGCCATGAAGAGCCGGATTGTGATCTTTTCAACAGGAGACTCTGGTCAATCACACACACGGTGTGTTTGTGTGTGTATTCTAAAATAAACTTCTGAGCTCATCTGTCATAGGGAACATCTCAGATTTCAATCCCAGCTCACTGGGTACAAAAGGAGGGAGGGACCCGCAGAGGAATCGGTTTCGAGCCCCTCTGCGGATGCTGAAAACCGCGTATTATAGAGAACGCTGTTATAATAGCCGGCGCGATACACAGCATGGACTATGATGCAGCGGCAGGCTTGAATGGGTTTTAAGAATAATTAAAATACTAAGGTTAGAACGGAAGACAGGGAAGGAACCCTCTGGAGCATCCCCTGTCAAGGAGGGCCCCGTGGGGGATTCGAACTCCCAGCCTTGGGGAAGACGCCGAAACCCCTGAGCGATCCGGCAGTTCTAAATGGCTCTTACCGGAAGGCCTCCAAAGTAGCTGTTTCTGGCAGGAGGGAGGCTGGAGAGAAGAATCCTTTGGAGGCCCCAGCCTGGAGGTCAGTTTTGAACCAGACGGGGCAAAGTCCATCGAGAGAAGCTCTCTGAGCAAACATTTTAATGTCCCCAGGAATCGAGGGCCTCGCCCAGCCAGGGTCACCAGCCACCCAAGGGAAGGACAGGAGGAAACCCTTCGGCTTCTGAACAGACCGATATGGCAGCTGGGAAGTGACCAAACTCAATGGCGAGGTCTCGGGTCCTTTGAGTACAGGAGGACCCCTGAATCCACGGGGGATCGCTTCCCCGTGGATGCTGAAAAACGCGGATGATAGCAAACACTCATATAATAGCCAACACTCGTTGTAGGCTGGTGGCCAGTCAGAACAAGCAGGAAAACAACTCGGTGAGGGACAACTTTAGTATAGTGAACCCCGCCAATCTGGTCAATTACGACCACTCTAGGCGGCTTAATAATAATAATAATAATTATTATTATTATTATTGTAGTAGTAGTAGTAGTAGTAGTAGTAGTAGTAGTAGTAGTAGTAGTAGTAGTAGTAGTAGTAGTAGTAGTAGTAGTAGTAGTAGTAGTAGTAGTAGTAGTAGTAGTAGTAGTAGTAGTAGTAGTAGTAGTAGTAATAATAATAATAATAATTCTCTACATTTGGGATGGGAAAGCTTTCCTCCCTCAACAAATTTGCAAGCAATTTTGCCAGCTTTGCACTCGAATGGAGAAGGCCGTGCAGAACTATGCAATTAAGAGAAAGTTTGTTCTGTCCTGCCGGTCGCCCCCCCCAGTTCGGGGGGGGGTAGCATTCGCTGGATTAATTATTATTATTTTGTTTTTTTGCTTTGGCTTTCAAAACTGGACACACACACACCCCCGCACGCCCAGACAAGGACGGGCGGCTGTCCCGTCTGCCGCGGTTGGGGATCAGGTTCCGAAGCCCAGATCTGTGGGGACGGGCGAGTGGCCAGGCTCCAAACCGGGGGGGGGGGCAGGGGAAGGGGTTTTTTGTGGGGGGCTGTGTGTGTGTGTGTGTGTGTCAGACCAGCTGTTCAAAACAGCCCTTGGAAATCGGATAGCGAGGCTCCATCCGAATGGCCAAAACAGGCTTGCCTGTTGGTGGTGGAACAGGAGCAGCTGGCACAGAGGGAATGGGGGGGGGGACAAGAAAGCCCCCTAGTTTTTACCTGGTCATGGTCAGGCGTTCTGACAATGGCCATACATCTTGAACTGCCGGAGGGCTCAAGGGTTGAGGCCTCTGGCTGTGGAGCTAGAGGTGGGAAAATCAAATCTCCCTCTGGGCCTCCATGACAGGGGCTGGACTGGATGATCCTTCGGGATCCCCCCCCCCAGCTCTCCCATTCTAAGATATTAGTAGAACCTTGCGCTTTGGCAGCTGTTACGCTTTTAGGAATCAGTTCAGGGAAGAAGCAACTTGGAGGGTGCAAGTGCAGAGTTAGGGTCATCTAGAACCCTAGAATTGCAGAGTTGGAAGGGGTCCCCATAAGGCCATCCAGTCTCACCCTCTGCTCAAGGCAGGGAACTGAAAATAGTTCGTGTGTCGAAGATCCAAGGCCTGGCAAGAGGCGGCTGACCCACCATGGACTTCAAACATTCGAGGCTCAGAGAGCGCCCAGGGAGGGGCGGCTCGCGCCTGCGGGCCACCAGAAGCAAACTCCCTTATCTGGTTCCCGCGGGAGAAAACATTTCTGCCAGAGGCCTAATCAGGCTGGGGCAGATTCGCACGGCAAGAGAGAGACAAAGCTCACAGAGCAACCCACGGCTCTCCGGAGGTAGCTGAACTCCGACACCCATCAGACCGAGCCAAGGGTGATGGGGCCACAGCCCAGAACTCCTGGCAAGGAAGGTTTCCCCATGACCCACCTCGGGCGTACATTTTGGCGTGTGTTGGGTGAACACATGAAGGCGTCTGGGGCCCCCTGGTCAAGCCGGTCTGGTCTGATCGCTGGATCATGTCCGGCAGACGCCACAGGCCAGATGGTTCATGGCCTGGCTTATTTCGAGACATTCATTGTCTTTTTGCATTACAGTAGGAACCCCCTGCCTCAGTGGGACCAGTATCCGCTGATTCCCTTATCCACAGTCTGAAAATATTTAAAACGCTAAAAGAAAAAAATAATAAAACATAGATATATTTCTAGTGGGGACGTGGTGGCACTGCGGGCTAAACCGCAGAAGCCTGTGCTGCAGGGTCAGAAGACCAAGCAGTCGCAAGATTGAATCCACGCGACAGAGTGAGCTCCCGTTTCTTGTCCCAGCTCCCGCCAACCTAGCGGTTCGAAAGCATGCAAATGCAAGGAGATAAATAGGGACCACCTCAGTGGGAAGGTAACAGTGTTCCATGTCTAAGTCGCACTGGCCATGTGACCACGGAAGATTGTCTTCGGACAAAATGCTGGCTCTATGGCTTGGAAACGGAGATGAGCACCGCCCCCTAGAGTCGAACACAACTTGACAAAATTGTCAAGGGGAACCTTTACCTTTACCTTTATATATATTTCTAAAGGTGATGTGACCAGAACTGGCCACCAGAAGGAGATAGAGACCATAATATGTACCGTTTGTTATTTAAGAAGTGTTCGCTGTTATTTGCGTTTTTCAGCATCCGCAAGGCGGGGGTGCTCAGAGCCCCTGCAGGTCCGGGGAGTGGGTCCTACTGTATTGCTCTGATGAAACCTGGAAGTTTCATGGATTCTCCCACCCAGATCCTTTGCCCGAGATCTCAAGACGGGGGCCGGGATAGACGAAAACCAATCCTAGTTTTGCAAACAACACAAAAAACTATCTTCGCTCCAACCCCTGGCTGTGCAGTGAAGGGAAGGGAATGCCACAGATCCGTGCCCTTGCGTCTGGGAACCCAAAGTTGGGGAGCAGGGGTCTAGAACACCACCTGGGTGACCCAAGGCCCTGCTTCCCAACCTTGGGTCCCCAGACGGACTACAACACCCAGAATCCCCAGCCAGCACAGCGGGTGGCCAAGGCTCCTGGGAGTTGTGAGGCAAGAAAGCTCTGGGTGATTTCCCCCCCCCCGCCGGAAGGCTCGTCGTCCCCAACTTTGGGTTGGGTTTGCCTTGGGTCACCCCCCAGGGGCTCTTGGACTCCAACTCCCAGAATCCCCGGCCAGCAGAGCTGGGGGCTAAGCCTTCCGGGAGTTGTAGTCCAGAAGCCCCTGGGGTGACCCAAGGCAATTTCCACCCACAGATTCCAGAGGGCCCCCCCCGCACTTGACCCCCTTTTTTCCTGCAGGGATTGGGGGCGAAGCCACCGCGCACTGCGCATGCGCGCGCCCCCCACCCAGGAAAACTCACCCCCTCCCCTCGGGTCCTCTCGCCTCCAGCGCCGCCGCCGCCGCTCTTTCTCGGGCTCTCCTCTGGCCCAGAAGGGCCAGGCCCCACCCCTTCCTCGCCCCCCTCCCGGCCAATCCGCGCAGCCGATCCGGGAAGGAGGCGGTGACAGAATGCGGAGGGAGGGAGGGAGAGAAAAGAGGGCGGGCCCGGCCGGGAAGGCGGAGCAAAGGAGGCGGGCCAGCTGGGCAGGGCCTCTCTCCTGCGATGGACAGCGACGCGCGCCAATGAAAGGGACCCAGCGGGAAAGCGGGCGTGGAAGGTTCGGAGCGCCCGGGGAAAAGTCCCCGCCTGGGTTGGGCGGGGTTTTGCCGGTGGGTGGCCTCGCTCCGAAGGTGGGCGGGGCCAGGAGATTTATATTGGCCACGCCTGCAATTTCTTTTGTGGTCTCTGCTAATTGGGATGAGGAAGTCAGGGGTCAAATATTGGTTTTGTTTGGGTTTTTTTTAAATAACGTAATATTTTCATCCATGTTTCAATATGTTGCCTTTATGTGTTACAGGAGGACCCCTGTATCCGCGGGGAATCGGTTCCAGCCCCCCGCGGATGATGAAAAATGCGAATAATAGCAAACGATGATGGCAAGGGTGGTGGTGGTTGAGGAGGAAGTGGTGGCAGCAGGACCATGTAGGGCAGCGATGGGGGCAATGGGAAGGGGGCTGGTGGGCATCTCCTTTTGCCAAACAAAATGAAATGCTGAGGGGGAAAAGAGTTTGGCTCTTCATTTTGTTTGGGCAAAGCAGGATCCCCAAACTAGTTTGCAAAACACACCATGAACCAGTCCGATTCATCGATTTTTCTGGTTCACGTTTCCGTTTGTGCCCATCTCTAATTCCAACATGGGAGGAATGGAAACACAGCCTTTTGTCCATGCCGGGGCTGGACGAGGATCAAAGGTTATCATTTTGAAAGTGATATGTCTACTAGTTACCCCTTCACCACCATTCACCACTATATTGACTCAGTGCGAATCGCATTTAGAAGAGGCACACCAGGAAACTTTTTACTTATGCTCTATTTGTTTATTTGTAAATAAATCAAATGTCAGCATGCCTCCACCTCCAAAAGTGACATTTGGCTTCAGCACTCTGTCCTCCATCAGAAGACAAACCCATGTTGACCTGTTGTGGGCTTTTCCACTGTCTGGAGAAACTGATGAGAGTATGGCCACCTGTCCTACTTTACAAGGCACAGTCCTCTACTTCAGTGGTTCCCAACCTTGGGCCTCCAGATGTTCTTGGACTTCAACTCCCAGAAATCCCGGCCAGCAGAGCTGGGGGCTAAGCCTTCTGGGAGTTGTAGTCCAGGAGCCCATGGGGGTGACCGAAGGCAATTTCCACCCACACATTCCAGAGGCCCCCCCCGCACCGTGGGCGGGGCCAGGAGACTTATATTGGCCACGCCTGCAATTGCTTTTGTGGTCTCTGCTAATTGGGATGAGGAAGTCAGGGGTCAAATATTGGTTTTGTTTGGGGTTTTTTTTTTTTTGAATAACGTAATATTTTCATCCATGTTTCAATATGTTGCCTTTATGTGTTACAGGAGGACCCCTGTATCCGCGGGGAATCGGTTCCAGCCCCCCGCGGATGATGAAAAATGCGAATAATAGCAAACACTGTGCTAATAGCGAAGGCTACACATTGCAGGGTCTGTGGCTCCCTCTCGTGGCCAGTTCTGGTACCTTCATCCTTATATATTTCTATGATTTTTCTTCTAAAATTTTTAATGCTTTCAGACTGTGGATAAGTGAATTAACAGATATCAAACCTGTAGAGAAAGGGGTCCTGGCATGGAATAGGTAAAGAGAGAGCTTACTGTGTTTATATCCTACATTTCCTCTTCAAGTTCTGCAATTAACTTAATCAGATTCAGGGTCGTTATTATTGTTATTATTAAATAAAGCCAGGTGCAGTTAAAATTATAAAAACATTTAACTGGTATTATATAAGAGATTCAAGTTTTAACCAAAAACCTGCGTACAATATCGATGTAGTATTTATGCTGTTCCTAATATTGCTGCTTTTTGTAGCTCTGATGACATTATTCTTCTTATTTTTATTATTATTAATCTTAAATTATGTGATTTTTTTTCAAAATAATGCATGTTTATCTTCCTGGTTATTGAACATAATAAATAATAATACTGTAACAGTAATGATTCAGGGCCATTAGTGTACAAATATCTACTGTTACCATTGGGTTTTTCCAGCTTTTAGACTTTGTTTGATGATGGGTGTGATATTTTAATGTTTAGCTATAGTTATTTTTTAACTTGTTTGCCCACTGCCCTGGATAGTGCTTTGGACCTCTTGGGGGTGGTGGTATATCCAACCATGAATCCAATAATAAACAAATAATAAGTGGTTGTGTTTTTTTTTTGGAGGAGGATGTTTTTCCCAGGTGTTTTGCAGATTTTTTTAAAAAAAAGAATACCCACCCACCCACAAAAAAAACCCAGAATGGGAAATAGTACTGTACCTAGTAAAAGAAAATTGTTATATGACTAGCTAACTAACTACTTTGGACGATTTTCATTTATTTATTTATTTTATTTAAATTATATGCCGCCCACTCTGCCCAAAGGTCTCTGGGCGGCTTACAACAATTAAAATTCAATTAAAATGCAAAAAAAAGATTAAATGATTAAAATACAATTAAAATTTTGTAATGAGTCATGCGGCCAAATGCAACACCAGGCCTTGAGGGGAACTTTGGTTTTCTCTCGTGCTGCGGAGAGTCTGCGGCCGCTTCCCGAGGAGGGGTTCCAGCCAAGAATCCGCCCGGCGTCCGTTTGTGAGGTCAGCTCGGAATCGTGGCTCGGCTTTTTCCGTTGGGTACCCAAGCCTTCCGGGGGGGGTTGGGGGGTTTCAGCAGCTGCCCCATGGTGCGGTGTCAAACCCCCGAGGGAAAGGGGCGGACTAAAAAAAAAAAATCAAAAAACCTGATTCCCACCATAAAAAGGAATTTAAAGGGGGTGGGGGAAATCAAGAGTACCCTTTCAGGGTGGAAAAGACTATCCAGCATTTACCTGGGCAGACCAATGTCGGGGAATCTGGTAAAGAAAGGTCCCTCTTCCCCTCCCCGCCTTTCTATGGGGATTAAAATGGGTTGGGGGGCTCGTTCCCATCCGGTCTCAGGGTTCAAAATGGCTCTGAAATGGTGCCTTAAAGAGCATAACCTTGTAGGCTGGACTTCGGATCCCATCAGCCTCACGGGCAGCAGTCCATGATCTCAGGAGGTGATGAGCACTCCCACGCTGGAGAAAACGGGAACCCCCCCCCATCTCTTCGATCTGCTTGGATTAGGGTTCCAGCCTTGAGCAGGGGGTTGGACTCGATGGCCTTATGGGACGCCCTTCTGACGTCATGATTCCGTGATATTTTTTTTTTCAATTTCATTCTTCTTCCTCTCTGGCCAGTTCCCGGAAACCTACATTGGCGATTCCGAGGAGGTGCGCGGGACGACCCCGGCTGGAAAAAAACATCTTGGTTCCCAACGTGATGGCCGGTCGGTGAGCCCTCCGAGTGCCAATAGCGGACAGCAAGACCGTGAGAATGTGGCCAGTCCCAGAGAACTCGAGGTAAGACGAGGGGCCGAAGGAAGGGAGAGAAACCCACAGGGTTGTCATTACGAAAGGAACACCACCACCGCCACCCCGTATCCACGAGGGATCGGTTCGAAGCCCCCTCGGATGCTGAAAAATGTGGATGATAGCAAATACTATTAGAATAGCATACTGAGGGGAGAGAGGAGAGCAGTTTTCAAAGCCTTGAAAGAGGTGGTTCTCCAGAGGAGGTGCAGGATCTGTCTCCGATCCTTCCAGAGTGCGCAGGATGCGTTCTGATGGGCTCGAGGAAGCCAGATTTTGGCTGAAGATTAGGAAAAAAATGTCTTAACTGCTAGAGCTGTACAATGACGGGAGGGGACAAGGAGCACTCCTGTGCTGGAGAAAACGGGACCGCCCTTCTGTCGGATCTGTTTGGATTTGGGGTTCCTGCCTTGAGCAGAGGGGGTTGGACTAGATGCCTTTGGGGACCCTCCCTTCCAACTCCACGATTCTGTGATCTTCCCAGGTACCGTCTTTCAACCAGGAGCTGCCGCCAGAAGGCGAAGGTCACCGCGATGGGGAGACTGATGTCCCCGGAGAGGAACAGCTGGCGCCCCGTTGCGGCCCAGAGGAAGATGGCGAAGGGACCCAGAAGCCCCTGAATCCACAGAATACGAATTTACTTGGTTTTAGATGGGTAGGTGAAACCCAACGAGTACGTGCTTGCTTGAGCTTTCACCTCTAGGAGCCGTCGTTCAACGTTCGCGGAGAGATTCTGGATGTTGCCATCCGGAAAACTCCTTCTTCCGACATCAGCCCCTGGCAATTGAGGGACGAAGGGGGGGGGATTTTGGCCCCATGGAGGTTTAACTGGGTGTCGGGGAGGTCTTCCCACCTTCTCGGCCGTTCTCCAGTCCTTCTGCTTCTTGGCCCTGCAGCTACAAGGGGAAGAGGACGACCGGGACGTGCGCCAAGAAAACGCCAGCAACCCCCTCGAGACCGTCAGCGGCCAGGAGACCGTCGGCGAGGGCGGTGGGTGCGAGGTTCTGGCAGTGCTGTGGCCCCCACCGGGTGACAATGCCGAGGAACATCTGGAACCCAGACTGAATGAGGTGAGGAGATCTCCTTTGCAGCCCATGGAACTCTCCGCCACCAGGTGCAGCAAAGCCGCAAGCCATGGCTCCCAGGAGAGAACAGAGGTTCACACGGGAGAAACAGGTTGGGGGGTCTGTTTGTGGCCATTAACACCTCCCTTTCGCTGAATTGATCCTCTCTATGCAGGTGCAGTATAGCTTCAGAATATCAGGTGGGGAGAACAAGCGAAACGGGAGGACGCTTTGAAAAATGGTTTTCATTTCTAGTAGGAAAGACACACACCGGCGGGGGATCAGTTTCAAGCACTATTCTGGGCAGTTCACCCTAATAAAACCACAACTGATTAAGATAAACATGGGTTAAGATGGACCAGCAATGGTGAAAGGCTGACTGGTGGCCGGCTTCTTGGATCGGATCGCTGCTCCGGTGCCTTGCTCCTGCCTTCAAATGTGTTTTTCCCCCCTTCCCAGGTGTCTTTGATAGACCGCTTTGTGCCGGAGGAGAAACCCAGCCCTACCCTCTCTCGTTTGGGGTATCCCGAGAGCCCCCCGGGGGCTCAGGAGAGTCCATCCCCCTGCAACGAGGAAGCGCTCCGGACGGAATCGCCCGCCTCCACCGGCTATTTCCCGTGCTACCGAACATACGAGGAGCTGCCCTGCTACCGGCCGAACAAGCAGCCCGAGGGCCCGGGGAGGTATCGGGACGCCGCCGTCCAGTGCGACAGGCCGGAGGGAGCCACCGGGAGAGAGAAGAGAAGGGCCGAAGCCAAGAAGAGCCTTGAGGAAGGGAAGCGGCTGGCTGCCCCACCAGGGTCACCCCAGAGGCAGCTCCCAGGGGGCCCGAGGCCCGCGTCGGCCGGTAGGAGGCTGGAAGGGCCTGGCCAGAATTTGAGGGCCTCCGGTGAAAGCAGCCCCACCAGGGGGCCTGAGGCCCGTCGGCCCTCCAGAGGGTCCCCGTCTGGGTCAGGGGCTGTCAAAGAGGGACTTGGGCTGGGTCCCCGGATCAGCCCCTCGCCCCCGGCCGGGTACAGGAAGTCGCTCCAGAAGAAGAAACACCGAGGGAGCCCGGCGGACGAGGAGCAGCAGAGCGCGAGGATGGAGCGGAAGCCCCTCCTTGAGGACCAGCTGTCCTTGCCCCCGAGCCCGGAGGAGAAAGTGCGGGCCCGGCCCCTGTGTTGCTACGGGGCAGAGGCTGCAGGAGAGAGGAGGCAGGTAGGGGGAAGCACGGCCGGGCCACAGGGGATGAGCGCCGGATAGGGCCCAAGCGGACACCCCGCCTGAGAGCCCAATCCGCAGACCGGGACCCCCGTTGCCTGTGGGACCGGTATCCGATGATTCACTTATCCACAGTTGGAAAATAAAAGAGGAAAATCCTAGAAATAGGTATATATATATATTTCTAAAGATGAAATTGCTAGAAGAGGCCACTCGACGAAACCAGAAACCATGCTATGCATAGTGTTTGCGATAACCCAAGCTTTTCAGCGTCTGCGGGGGGACAGGACTTGGACCTGATTCTCTGTGGGTAGGGTGATCCTTTAGCGACCAGTTGATAATATATGGGATTGTTTTAATTTTCAAATCACAGGTAAGAAAACCTGTGGATACTGATCTTGCGGATAAGGGGGTCCTCTTGGATCGGTTAACAATGCCACAGTTTTCCCAGGTGCCTCCTCTTCTATTTCTTCTTGCAGGTCAGGCCGGCGAAAGGACAAGTAAAAGACGGCCCTCAGCCCATGCCACCCACTCCAAGCCCCACTTCGGCCCCGGGGCCTTCGGGAGACCCCGGCCCCAGGCCTTCCCGCCTCGGCTTCCACGCCATTGTTTCTTGGGTCTGGAGGATCTTCCGGAAGCCGGCCCAAGCGCCTCCTGGACTGGATCCTGGCCGGAGGCCCCTCGGCCACCGCCTCAGACTGTGGCTGGGGCAACGCGGTGGCCGGGTCCATCCAGAGCTGCCCTGATGCCCGCCCAGAAGCCATGCCGGATCATTTATGCCGAAACTGATTATTCCCCATTAAACGTCCATTTCCCCCTTCTTGCTGCGGGTATCTGCGGGCCTCTTTTCTTACAGAACAGCGTCCTGGAGGAGGCCTCACCCATGCCGGACACGATGGGGACTAGTGCCTTGCGGGATTTGGAGCTGTTGATCCCATCCAGCTGAAGGTTCGACCGCAATCTAATCCACGTTTTTCAGCATCCACCGGAGCGGGGGGACGCTTGGAACAATTCCCGCAGATATGAAAGTCCTTCTGTACTTGGTTTTTGTGCTTCCACACCCCAAGCCCGTCCCCCTGAATAGCCAGATGAGGGATCCTGCACCCCCTCCCAATGAGTCCAGTCTCCATCATCCTCAAACCACTGTCCGTGCTGGAGTCCACAGCATCGGGAGGCCCTCCCGGTTTCCTAGCCCAGTTTCAGAGGTTCGAGACCCCACCACCAAGAACACCCTGAGTCCTACCCACCCCCCTTCAAAATCCCTGCCACTTCCATCCGTGACACCCCGGATCAGAGCCTTGCGGGCAGAAATCAACACAAGGATGCCATTTTTGATTTTCAACAACAATACGTGATGACACAAGGACGCCAGTAGGGGAGACATCCACAAAAGGAAACTTCAGCATTAAAGGGGGGGGGGGAGACTCGAGCAGCAAAACAGCCCCGAAAAGCCAGCAGGAAGAGAAAAGCGTCCCGCAGAATCAAACACACCGTCTTTAGGGGTCCCCTACCATCATCAAGACATTGCCGCTATGGTTGGACTGGCCACCCTCAGGACAGCCGCAGGTCAAGGGGGGGAACATGTCTCAGTTTGTTAGCTGAGACCGGCTTTTGGGAAAAACCCCCCCCCCCACGTGAAGTCACAGCAACAAGGGAAGAAGGGAAGACTTAGCCTGAAAGCAGAGGGGGAATGAACTGGGGGGGGCACCTGCATAGCAAGGCAAGGGTGAAAAACCCATCTCCTCCGTAGCAAACCAGCCCATGTCCCCTTTCCCACGGGACAGGAGAGGCTACCAAACCTCATCGTCCGCCCCCTTTCCTTTCGGCCCGGATGTGTTCAAATTGGCACCTCTCTCTCTCTCCCTCCCCTGACCCCCTGAAAGCCCCCCTCCTTCCAAAGTCTGTAAACACGCCGCTCAGCATCGAGGGGCTCGAAGCGCTCAGCGGGCCAGGCCCCCCTTCTGGCCGGTCCAGAGTTCCCGCAGCTCCACCTTGCAGCCGAGGTCCCGCAAGGCCGCCTTGGCCACGTCGTCACAGTCCCGGTGGGCCGCCCGGGCCTCCGCAATCAGGCTCTCGGCCCCCATCTCCAAGATGGGCTGGGAGAAGTCCTGGCTGTGGGCCACGAGGTTGCGGATCAGCATGCAAGCCTGCTTCTGCCGGGGGAGGGGGAGAAAGAGAGAGAAAGAGGTCACCGAGACCGGGGGACCCCCAGATGTTCTCCGGACAACCACTCCCAGAAATCACATGCAACACACCACAAGGCTGCTGGGAACAAGTCCAAGGACACCCGAGGGATTATCACCTTGAGCTCCAAGGTCACTGCGGTTACTCCAGGGAGGGAGGGAGGGAAGGGGGGGATCGGTGCCACTGTACCTGCACACCGCCTTCTCGCGGGTGAGTCTTCATGGCCTGCAGCGCCACCAAGGCCCCGCCGCCTTCCATGATGACGCGGCAGTTCTCCGGCTTCCGGAGCGCCAGCATGCACAGGGCGGCGCAGCTCTGCTCGCACACCTAGCCAGCGGTCGGGAGGCAGACAAGGAGAAGAAGCAAGGAGAGCCACAGTTAAAGTCCATTAGCGGATATGGGGGTCCGCGGATACGGGGTCCCATGGCTAGGAGGCCGTCCGTGGCACTGCCTGGGATGAAGAGCCTCTGGGGGGAGCGCCTGAAAGACCCCAAGTGCTCCTGCTTCCCTCACCCCACCCTCACCCTACCTGAGGGTTTCCAAGATGGCGGCTCATGGCCAAGATGATCAGGTCGGTTCCCCCCGCGTTCACGATGGCGTCTTTCACGTCATCGTTGCCCGCAATGGCCCGGATGGCGCTGAGCACGTGCTTCACGAGCTCCTGTCAATCCACGAGGGAAGCAAAGCAGAGCAAACCCCGAGACGTTAAAAGCGAGGGTACCGTCCCTTGCTCTTTCCAGAAAGTACCAAGCAGGAAAGAATAAGGAGAACTGCTTCCACCACAACCCTGCGTTCAATCCGAGTTCGATCACCACAGCCTCAGGCCACTGGCGCTCACCTTCCCTAATTCCCAGGGGAATAGGCCAGGGGAAAGACCTGTGGTGGGCTGGAGGAGCTGCCCGTCGAGGGGCGACTGTTCCGGGTTCGAGATCGCTGGCCCTCCACCCACCTGATGCTCAATGCAGTCGGCCAAGAGTGCCACAATGAAGTTCAACCCTCCCAGGTCCACAATATCTTGGCAAAACTCGTTCCGGACGGACAGGCGGGCCAGGGTGGCGCAGATTTCGCTCAGGACACTGCAGTCATCCGTGAAAGCTGGTAAACCAGGCGGAAAAAATTAGAAAACTTCAGTGGCTGGTATTTTCATCGGCACTTGGAGGCGGGGTGGGTGGGGGGCTGAGGGATGTGCCCCCCCCAACGAAGAGACTGGGGAGGGGAAAGCGGGGAGGGCTTACCTTTGGCGGCCTCAATCAGGATCCCCAGCCCATGATGCTCCACCACAATCCTCCTGGCGTGTTCGTGGGCGTGGCCGAATGGCGCCCGGATGTCGTCGTCGAAGGTCATGACCCGCAGCCCGGCGCAGGCCTCCCGGACCACATCGGCCCGGTCCCCATGGCGCACAATCGCCCCGGCCAGCAGGGCCAGGACGCCCCCTTCCGCCAGGTCCTGCCGGTTCTGCTCATGCTTCAGGCAGGCCTGCCGGACGCAGCGGACGCCAGCCAGGGTCACCTGGGGGTCCTCGCACCTCTCCCGCAAAGCCCGCAGCACCAGCTCCTGCCCGGGGGCATCGAGAAGGTCTGGCTGCCCGTTGAGGAGCGCCGAGAGCGCTTGGAGGGCCTTCAGGAGGGAGCAGCGGTCCTCCAGGGCCAGGCGGCCGGCGGCCAACACCGCAGGACAGGCACCCTTTTGGGCTGCAAGGGAACGGACTGCCAGCTCCTGCCGGCACTGCTGGGCAAAGGCCACCAAGAGGTCATCCACGTGGCCAGCGTCACCGTCGATGACGGCTTTCTGGAGCGCGTCCAAAGTCTAGGGAGTGAAAGGGCCGAGGATGAGCAGAAGGGACGTCCCTCGCCTCGCCCTCATCCCTTCCGACAATCTCCCGTCCTCTGATGTCCAGCTTGGGGGCAGAGATGGGCCCGAATCGGTGTTTTGCGCCGGCTCCTTGATCGAGCACCCGAACAGGAGCATGGCGCCTCCAAGCCCCACCTCCTCCCACTGGCACCCACTCAGAGGCGACAGCCTGGCCTCCCTGCCCCGCCTCCTCTGGACGCGGCCTCTGAGTGGTTGCTCGCCAGAGGAGGCGGGGCTCCGAGGCGCTGAACACCCATCTGGCCGATCAACGAACTGGTGTGAACTGCCGAATCGGCAGTTCGGGCCCATCTCCAGTTAGGAGTAAAAGAATTTGCGGTAAGTTCCAGCACCTGCAGCTCTGGATTCTTCCCATATTTGTATCTTTACTTCTACTTTTATTATAAAGGTAAAAATAGTGGCAAAGATAAGTAGTTATATACTGTATGTAGTTACAGCACTTTTATAGTACTATAAAAGCTGCCTGTATTCTCTTGTGAGTCTCTGTTCCCCGCCCCCATGCTTTTAAATTGGTTTTATTTGCATTATTAAAATATCATGATAATTTGGTGCTACACCCTGGACCCTTACCTGCAGAACAGCATGTTTCTGTTCTGGGCTGTTCCCAGAGGAGGGGCTGGGGGCCATCTTCACTATGTTGCTCAAATCGACACCTGGAAGAGACCGAGTCAAATCAGACAACTTCCGACGCACCCACCCCTCCTGCCCAGCCAATGGCCATGAGCGCAGAAAACAAGGCGGCTGCCACAGGTAGCCCTGTTGAGATGAAACAAATTTAAACCTCTCCTGGGTTTAAAGCTGAATCCCCACTTTGAGCTTCTTGGAGAACTTATCGAACAAGAGATGTACTGTAGGACCCCCATTTCTGTGGGATTGGTAGCCGCGGTTTCCCTTATCTGGGGGCTCTGAAAATATTACAAACATTAAAAAGAAAAACCTAGAAATACAGATTTTCATGATGTATTTACCAGAACTGGCCACCAGAGGGAGCCAGAGCCCTTTTCTGGTTATTGAAGAACACATAGCATAGTCTCTGGCTCCCTCCCGTGGTCAGTTCTGGTAATACATGGTGAAAATATGTATTTCTGGGGTTGTTTTTAGCATGCTGTGTAGAGCGCTCATTATTGTCCACGGATTTCGACATCTGCAGGGAGTTTGGAACCAATCCGCCATGAATACATGGGAATCCAAATGTAATCTACCAAGAAACCTAGCTGCTAGGGAATGACCACCTTATGATTATTCCGGGGATGTGCACCCTTCCCTATACATTAGGTCTTCAAGTCCATACCTTGAGATTCAAATTGCTGAACGGCTTCCGTGACTGCCTCGTCTGGATCCATCCCAAACTCAAGGATGTTCTCCTGTACCACATCATCAAACGTTTCCTGCGTGATCCGCTTGGCGGCCATTCTGCTTTCGTTCGACATCCAGGCCTGCAGAGAGATAAATGGTTTAAACGTGCCGCAGGACTGAGCTTCTTGTCTGGCTCGAGGTTTTATGATCTTTGCAGAATGTGCTTTTTTAAAAAAAAAAAAACACTAGCTGAGCTGCGCCGACAGTAGCTTTGGCTGACTGCCTCGGAGAGGTCGCCACTGCAGGAGGAAAATGACCCAGAAATGTCTCGTCTGAAAACTGTTCAGATCGGCACGCACCGGCATCCGTGCACATCTGCAAGCCGGTGCAACCTCCTGCACATCGTGGAGTTCTAAACGGCCAAGGAAGAAAGGTTGATTTGTCCTGCACAGCTTCTAATCTAGGTCCCGATTCTCCAATTCATACAGCACTGGGGGGAAAACCCAGTACTCTATATGAAATTGGTTGGAGTAAACAGCTAAAAGACGTTGGTTTGCATCCAGATAAGGCTTTCTGCAGAAACAGGATCAAAAGTCTTGGGTCCCTGAGCTTACATCTTCTCATGTGCAGGAGATGGATCGTCAACTAAGTTACTTCCGTGTGGTTTTCCTCTTGTGTAAGGACTTCACTAAAAGAATAACAAGATGCCCTAATTTTACGTCGGAACGACTTTTCTAATCATGGAAAAATAATGAGAAAGCACTTTATTAATGCCGCAACGTCTGCACATCATCGGTGCTATTTTTAGGGCCGCTGCTGTGCTGCTTTTTCTCCTCTGTGTTCAAGCACCTCTAATGTCTCTTTCCTCAATTCATCTCAGATTCACTCCCTGTTAGGGACCGAGAGGCGAGACTGGTCCAAGGTCATGTACAGAGTTCCGTGGCTCAGTGAGACCTGATCTCTCCCGCTCAGTCCAAGAATCGAAAGCGACGGTTCGTAACATACCCATTCTGTTTCACATCCTGTTATTCTTCTCTTTGGGTGGTTTAGGGATCTGGCTGTGGAGCCAGAGGTTGGGAGTTCGAATCCCACACTAGGCCTCTTTGACAGGGGCTGGACTGAATGATCTTGAGGGTCCCTTCCAGCTCTGTAGTTCTAAAATGATGATGATTACTACTCCTGTGGTTCTGCAATGGCATTGTTACAGAAGATCTGGGGACACAAGTAGTATTTATTTTGCTGCTCTGTGCACCAAATAACTTGCATTTATATATTTATCAGTCTTTTAAGACTACAGTCCTTGTTGATTCTCCTGCACCCTGCCAATATGTCTCCCTTCTAGAAGCACGGAAACTATCAGTAAAGCAAAATTTAAACATAGTAGATTGCATGCAGATAAAATAAGCCCTTTTAAAACATAAAAATAAAGAATAAAAATCAAGACAGATATACAGCATAGGAAATGCAGAAAGATTGTTACAACTGAGCATTCGGGGTAAAATAAATTGGAAAAGAAATGGAGAATGGTGAACCTTTTTGGCCAAAGAATCATGGAGACTGATTCGGGTGCAGAATAGTTTCCTTTTTTAAGAAGGATCACATCAGAAGGAAATATAGCCATGATGATATTGCGCGCTCAACAGGAAGCATGACCGGAACTAGGCCATGCAGCCTCCAAGCTAGGCCCTGCTCCAGGCGAGCGAAATGTTGGAGTCACTTTGCATCTCTGTGCTACACACCTCAATAGGAGAGACACAACCGAGAAGCCAAAGCAGGCAACTGTCTTCCCCCTTTGCTGTTGCAGGGACTCCTCAGATTCTGAATTTGTGGAGAAGGATTGTGAGTTTCCCTGAGTCCAAATCCACCCGCTTCACACAACCTTACTTTAGCTTTACAGGACTTGGCGGACAATCAGTTGTAAGAAACAATAATAATATACTTATGATAATCTTAGAACGGCAGGGCTGGAAGGGATCCTTAAGATCATCCAGTCCAGCCCCTGTCAAGGAAGGGGATTTGAACTCCCAACCTCTAGCTATGCACTTTGATTCCCGCACTGGGCCTCTTTGATACGGGCGGGCCGGGCCTGATGATCTTCTCTAAATACATTCCTTTCCAGCTCTGCTGTTCTAAGATTATTATACAAGTTGGAGGACTAGAACGGCAGAAACCAAGGCTCAAACCCAGCCTAAGGTGTCCGGAACGACAACACCCTTTCTCTCTGTCTGCTAAAGCTCCCTTGTTGTTAAGGGTGATAACCAGGAGACACGGCATCGCTTCCTCGGACGAAAAGAGGGAAACAGATGTAAAAAGGAGTGAAATTTCAAGGTGAGGGGCTTGGATGTTGGACAGATGCCTAAGGAAAGGCCAGTGGTTTCCCCACCTCGTCTTCCCAGATGTTCTCAGACTACAACTCCCATTCATCCTGGACAACACAGCTCATGGCAGAGGCTTCTGGGAGTTGTAGTCCAAGAACAACACCCCATGGTTGGGAACCGCTGAGGTAGGAAGGAAGGAGGGATGGCTGGAAAAAAAAGTGTCTCGGAGCATACCAAAAAGGTCTCCATCTGTCTTAAATGGGGCTGCTGGGCTCTGTGGTTTGTGAAAATGATGTTGTTCGGCTTGGTTTTCTTTACCATTTTTAACACAATCTTGGTCTTTTAAAAAAAATGTTTTTAGCCTTGCGGTTTTGAGCCTTGAAAGGTGACCTTAATGAGGTTTTTAGCTTAAATTTGTTTCTTTCAATGGGGGAAACCCCCTTTTTTATTTCCCCCTTCCGCCCCCGCCCCCAGCTTTCAAAACAGGGTCTTCTCTTTATGTGTCAGTGAAGTCATCCTTTTTTTTTCAGCACAAAGACGAGCTGGGAAAATATTCTAAATCAACCCATCCATCCAAAATATGGAAATACGTTCCTTTTGAGGCTTTCTGCAGTTCTTAAGAGGATGATGAGGATGAGGATGAGATCCCACTCTCAATAAAGACCCCCACGGGCATGGCTCGAGGTCCACGCCCACTGGTGGGGGCAAGTCAAACGGATCCAAAAGCAGCCGTGGGGAACAAGGCCTCTGAGCATGGACAGAGTGCCTCCCGCTTCCCCACGCCTTCCAAATAAATGAATGAATGAAAGAAAGAAAAGAAAGATTCCGGCTTCGCAGCGAACCTCCACACCCAGGGCAGAGGGGGAAGCGTGCCTCTGAGCATCTCCAGAGCGCCCTCGCCCCACCCGCCCCCTTCGAAAGGACAGCCTTACGCCCTCGACCTACCTGGCGTGACCCTCGGCGCTTGCCGTAGCCGCTCCTTTAAGGCCAAACCGAGAGAGAGAGAGAAATCGCAGCTCCTGCTCCTGCCCCGAGCTCGGCCGGATTGAAGACAACGCGCACGCGCAGCCGCTGGCCAACCGCATCACGAAGTATGACTGCCCGCGGCCACCGTACGAAGGGACTACAAAAAAAACCCAACCACAACCTAACTCCGCCTATGGAGCGACTTGGTTTAAAAAGCGCATGCGTTCTCTACTCGGAAGGTGGGCCGGCTTTTCCCGCATGTCGCGCGTGCGCATTCCGCAAGCCGTTAGATCTCTCTCTTGCTCTTTCTCGGGAATCGAGCTGCAGCGCCCCGCATAGGACGCATACGCCGGAGCATACGGCGCGTGCGCCTTGGTTTTGGCGGGCTGGTGGGAGATGGGTGGAGCTCTCTAGACAGGGGCGGGGACTCGGAATCCTGTCTGGAGAGGGAAGGAGAAGCGGGAGGCTTCCGCCATCTTGAAGACTATAGAAAGGTCTTTCCTAGAAGGCCGCGGACTGGAGGCCGCTCGGCGCATGCGCGTTTCGGGACTTTCGGCGGCTCCATGGCGTCCCGCTTTCTCTGAGGCCCCCCGTGCCTGATTTCCTTTCCCTTGGATTGGCTTCGGAAGCGCCGGGTGAGGGGAAAAATGGGAAGGAGGAGGCCGGGGGTGCGTGGATCCCGCCTTTGTGCCTCACGGGAGGACCGGTGGGCGGGGACCCCCATATCCGCGGAGGCCCGTTTCCGAAGCCCCCCCGCGGATGCTAAAAACGCGGGTTATAGAACCCGAGGCCGCTTGACTCCTTCGCCTACCGGGGGCCAGTTCTGGTCACTCCCACTTTGAAAATATTTTCAATGCGTTCATACAGCGGATACGCGAATCAGTGGATACCGGTACCCGCGGATAAGGGGACCTTTTGTGCGTCGGAAAATGAGTGTTTGAGGGGGTGTAAAATCTTCTGTGTGGGGGAAAAGGTCTTGTGTGAAGGAAAGCTGTATTATTATTGTGAAGGATTTCCTCAGGCTGCTGGCCATTTACTGTATTTTTCTGTGTATAAGACGCCCCCACTTTTCTAATCCAAAATTAAGAATCTTAAGTGGAACTTGCCAAGTGTAGGGGAAAAGGGATCAAAGCCCTGCAGGATTGCTTTGATCCCTGCTTTCCCCTCCACTTATTTTTGTTCTCTCCTCAGCTTACTTCCGTGTATAAGAAGACTCTCAATTTTTAGGCTAAAGATTTTAGACAAAAGTATAGTCCTATACATGGAAAAATACAGGTAAGCTTAAACAGAGACTAAGGGTGGGGGTGGAGAAAGCAGTGTATATTTTGAATCAATGCCTAAACTAATACATATTCATTAACATTTACTTTTTATATCTGTAACTTGCATATATATTTGTGTATGTGCATATAAGTATGTATATCTATATGTGTATAGATTTATGTACAGTGTACATACATATATAATTTTTAATTTTGATTGCATATAATATCTTGTTATTACAGTATATCTATATTTATATTTATACTTTTATTTTTAGACTGCCCATCTGACCAACAACCACTCTGGGCAGTAGAGATTAAATTATTATTTTATTTGTTTGTTCAAAAATATCCTATACCTTCGCGAAGGCTTTCACGGCCGGGATCTAATGGTTGTTGTGGGTTTTTCGGGCTCTTTGGCTGTGTTCTGAATGTTGTTCTTCCTAACGTTTTGCCAGTCTCTGTGGCCGACATCTTCAGAGGACATCACTCTGTGCTCTGTGTAGTTGGCTTTGGGAGTGCAAGCCAACTACACCAGAGCACAGTTTGCTGTCCTCTGAAGATGCCGGCCACAGAGACTGGCGAAACGTTAGGAAGAACAACCTTCAGAACACGGCCAAAGAGCCCAAAAAACCCACAACAACCATTATATCCTATACAGTTTGCAGCCTAAAAAGCACAATAAAAGTAAAAAATTAGGCAAGAGGAAGGTGACATGGGCGAAATGGTCCCTTTGGTGGTCCTTGCTGGAAGGGACATGTTTCTCCTGCCTCCCTTGGATACGGAAGAACACGGATGAAAGCAAACGCTCATATAATAGGGATTGCAGTACATAGCACGTTCTGGGCCGCCCACTAGTGGCTAGTTCTGGTCACTTCATTATTCAAAGATATATATTTCGGGAATTTTTCTTCTCATATTTTTAATATTTCCACGCCATAGGTACGTGAATCAGTTCATACCGATCCTGCAGACAAGGGGGCCCTGCTGTATAACAAACCTGATGGTCACTCACAGACAACAGATCTCAAATAAAACATTAAAATGGCAACGTTCTTTTTGCAGAGGCGAGATGGCTTCCCGACGGATGGCGCAGGACTCTTTCGACACCCTCGTGCAGGTCAAGGCAAAACGGTACCGAATGGACCCAAGTGACCCCCTTAACAAGGCGCTTCATCAGCTGAGAGGTAGGTAGCGTTCCTGGCCAAACTCCCCTCTTTTTTGCAGCACTGCTTTGGATTCAGGACCAGATGTTTCTTCTTTATGTTCCTCCCCTGTTGGAGTTCTGATGGCCTGGTGACCTTTCTGCGTGTGAATGATGATTTTGCGTTCTCTGTAAACCAGCCTCTGTTTTTCTCAACCTCATTGTTCTCCTTCTTGCTCTTTTTTTCTCGTTTCTTTTTCCTTGAATGTTCTGATAGGTGACCAACATATTCTTACTATTTACATTTTAGGTGCCTTGTAATTTCTCTGGGTTTTTTGTTTGTTTGTTTGTTTTTCCATTTGCCTTAGTCCTGCATTAGCACTCAGCCTCTCCATCCAGCCAATTTTGGGGGAAAGTATTTAGGGACAAGAGAGCAGCCACAGCGAAAAGGCCCTGTCCCATGTCCCCAAGAAAGGCACCTGTGAGGGTGGTGGGACCGAGAGGAAGGGCCTCCCATGAGGATCTTAACACCCAGGCAGGCTCATCATGGGAGACGTGGTCTTTGGGCTTTATAGGTTAAAACCAGCACTTTGAATTCTGCCCGGAAATGGATCGGCAGCCGGCAGAGCTGCTGTCACCGAGGGTTTATGAGATCCCAGAGACCAGCCCCAGTTAACTGTCTGGCTGTGTCACGTTGGACCCTCTGTTTCCTTTTGCAGTTCATTCTCGGCCAGTGCTCCAGACTTCGTATGGTGATGAGGAAGAGGACCTCCATGATGACAGGAAATACACCCAGAGTGACTGGGCGAAAGAGTCTAGGGGCGATTATTCGGGCCCTTCCTATGCCTCCGGGAGCCGTGACCTGGAGGAAGGGAACTACTATGAGAAAAGCTTCTCCCAGCTGCCTTCCTGGAGCCGAGGCTACCTCCAGCCATCTCTGCGCGAGCGGGACTATCCCCGCGCCTCATCTACGGAAATCGACTATGGCGGTCCTTCTTCTAGAGACAAGGATTACAGCCGCCTGGCCTCACGTGATTTCCGGTCGCCGGGCCTTTTGGAAGAGGACATCGGAGGGGGGCCGGGTTATGACGCGGAGTATCATCTTGCTCCCAAGAGGGATTTCGGCTCCTCTTTGCCTATGGCCCGGGGAAGTGGTCTGCGGGGAAAACGTGCCGTGGCGACCCATGCGAGGGCGCCGACTCAGGGAGACCTGGCTTCCTCTGGGAAGAAGTGGGTCGCTCCGAGTTTGGCCTCGGCTGAGGATGTCCCGGTTGACCCCTTCGAGGAGCGAGCCATCTCGTCGGCCCGCCTGGCACTGAGCCTGGGCGCTCAGAAGAACCTCCTGTCCCCGCGGAGTCTGAAAGGGGCCGAACGCTCCCAGGACGACATGCCCTTCTTGGGCCCCGTTGATGCCACGGATGTTTTCTCCACTTTTGGGACCGAAATCATCAAATGGGCTGGCTTCCACAAAGTGAAAAAGGACAAGGAGTGTTTAGAGCAGTTCCAGGCGCTCTTCACGGTGGAGACCGAGACCTGCGCCAAGATGCTGGCCTCCTTCAAATGCCCTTTGAAGTACGAGCACCAGCAGTTTTGCCTGTACAGCATGAAGAACATCCAGCACCTGGCCCTGAGGAAGCCGCAGGTAGACAACACCTTCCTGAACTTCCTCATGGACAACAAGGTGATGGAGACGAAGAATGCTTTCTTCGAGGTGATTGGACCGTTCGACCGGGTTTTGATGAAGCTCCAGTACTATATCTTGAAGAGCACCACACCGCTGCTCATGGCCTGCAACACCTATGAGCTTAGCCTCAGGACCGACAGCATCAGCAGCCTGGCCCAGATGGCGGAGGCCTTCGAAGCCACGATTTCTCTCTGCCGCAAATCCTTGGTCCTTCTCGGGCAGACGTTTGCCCTGGCCTCTTCGGAGAGGCAGGAGAAAATCTTGGAAGCTCTCGGCATCCAGGAAGCGGCCCCTTCGCCCACCTTGTTCCCAAATTTCGACACCTCTGCCTTGTTTGGGCGAGAGTACATAGAGCACTTGCGGAGCTGGCTGGAGAAGAGTGGCTACCAGATGCGCTTAAAGAGTGCGGCCCCGAGTTCTCCGTCTCAAAGCGTCCAGGAAACCAGGCCCAAGACAAAGGGTAAAAAGTCCTTTTTCATGTTATATTCCGGGGAGATAAGGGAGTACAGTAGCCGCCTTCCCCCCCATATCTGTGGGGGATCAGTTCCAAGGCCCTCTGCAGATGCTGGAACTGTGGTCTGCTGGCTAACAGGAAGCGATCCAAGGTCTCTTCTAGTTGGTATTGTGAGTTGCTGTGTTGTTACTTTTATTTTTCACTTGCACAGCCCTGCAACGGGCCGACCAGAAAGTGGCCGCGACCATCGAGAAACTAGTGAACGATATCGTTTTGGGTGTGCTGACGGAAAGAGACATGTCTGAGCTGCGAAGCGACCCTGAGTATTGGTAAATAATCTTTTTTAAAATTCCCCCCCCCCTTTTGGGCTCGGGCATGGCATGCCTGGGACCTTTTCCCTTGTGGGAGCTTCGCCTTGCATGATAAGCACGGCTAACATTTGGTTTATTTATTATTTCTGGAACTTCTGTACCATCCTGTTAGCACACAGTGCTATTCTGGGCAGTTTCCTGTGTCCTTTCCCGCTCGGTCTGTTCTGCATGTTTTAGACTCTGACCTGGCCCAGACCCTTCCCAGACATGATTTTGTGCAGGCAAATGCCCGCTACACTCTGGGTCTCTGGAGTCACGGAGGTTCCTTTTGTAACGGTCCCTTTTCTGCCGCAAACCAGGTTTTTGCACGAAGAGGAAAGCCTTGAGCACAAGTATTACAAGCTGAAGCTCTCCGAGATGGAGAGGCTGAGGACCGAGGACGAGAAGGGCGATGAGCAGCGTGTGGCAGATGCCGTGCGAGCACTGATATACAGGAAGAAAATCGCCAGCATCAAGAAGAAGCTTTTTGCCAGGAGGAAGCCAGGGATCCTGCAGCGGGCAGCCAGAGCCCGGAGAGGGAAGAAAGCCACGGTCGGGACCCAGACGCTGCTCTCCGCTGGCACGATGCTGAAGCAGCTGCCGGCTTCGCCCCCAAGCCAGGAAGCCGAAGGCGACGAGGCTGCTCCACCGGACCCTTTATCGGATGCGCCGACACCGGGCCCAGAAGAGGCCCAACCCGCAGGAGGCGTGATGGACCCGAAGGGGCCCTCTGAGATTTCACAGTCATTGGAGTGTCAGTTCCCTGACGGTGGGTGAAGCCGATGAGTGGGGGGGGGGGCTGGCTTATCTTGCCCCTTTGAAGAACCCCAGCTTTTTAGGGACTCTGGCCGAAAAAGTTCTGCGGCCAGTCCTTTCTTTTTTCTTCTTTTTTTGGGGGGGGTCAAAGATGGGGAGCTGTTGACTTTCTGCCCACAGGTTTCCGGCCCTAGGAACAAGTTTCATAGAAAATGAAGTTCGGCAGGGCCTCTGTATCCACGGGATCGGTATCCACAAATTCACTTACGCTCTACAATTTGAACACATTAGGGTATTTTCAGGCTGTGGGTATTCGGGTATCCACCGCGGGGGACGATGAGGTTGATGTCCTAATATCCCGACTCCGTGTAAAGGCAGGGTTGTGTGATTTGCAGCGCCAGGGCTGTGGGGAATATGAGTCCTCAGCTTGCGTGAGTGCAGAGCTCCTTGTGAGCGGAGGAGACTATCATTCTCCCGTCCTGCTGAAGTCTGCTTCCTAACAGCCCGTAAACCTTCTCGAAAGGAGTGGAAACTGATCAGAAATAGATTTCTCTAGACCAGGAAGGGTTAAAGGGGATGTGCCGTGACTCTCATCTTTGAAAAGCATTCAGAATAATGTACTTTTTGGACAGAATAAGGCTCCTGGAACAGTATCTGGGTAGTACACTAGGAACCCCGCCCCGATTAATAATAGATTAAGAAAAATCTATTATTAATAGATTTAATAATATCTATTAAAAAGATAAATAATATCTTTTCCCACCGTGGGTCAGTGAACTCAGTGGATACTGATCCCGTGGATACAGGTGTGTGTGTGTGTCTTAAGTTCCTTCTATCTCACAAATGGCCCTTGTCTTCTGTTTGTGCTCCAGTGGATCCCAAAACCATGATCACAGCCCAGAAGCTGGCAGAGTTCGTTGCCGAGGTTGGGCCAGAGATAGAGCAGTTCAGCATTGAGAACAGCGCCGACAATCCAGATCTCTGGTAAGCAGGTATCCCCTCGTTGTGACTCTTTAACCTGCGTTCGCGAAGGAAGTGGGAGCAGCCGATGACTTTGCCGTTCGGGCCCTGAGCCGAGTAACAAGTGGCCGGGAGGGGAAAAAATAATGTGGTAGAGTAGGACCCCTTCATCTGTCGGGTTGGAATCCGCTGTAGCTCTTGGTCTGAAAATATTTTTTAAAAGTCCTAGAAACACATATTTCTAAAGGAGGTGTTCTGGCAAATACACCCTGGAGATATGTATCAATGCATATTACTGAGGGGTTCTTATTCAGTATTTCAGGCAGCAGATAAATGAATCTGCGGACATCGATCCCACAGAGCGGGGGAGTCATACTGTAGTTTAATGGAAGTGTTTTGGTGAAATGTAAACATCACGGCAGATCATAAAGCCCTACGTCAATCCTCCAGGTTCCTGCAGGACCAGAAAAGCTCTGCCTTCAGATTTTACCGCCTGAAAGTCTATGAGTTGTGCCCTTCAATCAGCTTTGGGACTGGGAAAGAAGCGTCGGAGGACCATCCCAGCCCTGATCCTGCGAAAGACCCCGGGGGGACATCAAAGGAAGAGGGGGGCCACAGTGAAGCGGAAGGGGAGGGAGGCGGCGGTACGGAGACGGACGTGGCCGGCTCGACCGCAGGAGCCCCGCCGGAGGAGGGGACGGAAGCCAAAGCGGAGGTTGCTGGCGCCGGCGGAACAGCCGGGGGCCCTTCGGAGCTTCCCGCCCGGACTCCTGCTCGGGGGACCCCCTTCGGGCGCAAGAGGGTCAGCAGCAAATCCTTGAAGGTGGGCCTGATCCCAGCCTCGAAGCGTGTCTGCCTCATCGATGAGCCAAAAGGTGAGTTGGTCGAGCCAGGAAGGCTTTGCGGCGTCTGGGAGATTCTGGGGGTGGTTCAGTGATTTCTTTAAAATACGTTTCCCTCATCTCTCTCTCCCGGGGGCTGCGCTCGGTCCTGTGCTAAGTCCTGGCTTTCATGGAACCACAGCTACTGCCGTCGACGAGCCACCCTCCATATGCCCTTCCTGATGCCTCCCTCGTAGGGCTGCCCTCCTGGCATGCAGATTGGTGGCAGCAGGATCCACAGGAGATCTGTTCCAGAATACACACACACACACCTGCGGATACCAAAAAGCACAGAAGTTGTGAAACACTGTAGAGAGATAGCATTTGTGTCTGGCTTCCTCTTGTGGCTGCTTCTGTTCAATACACGGTTGGAAAATGTATAAATCCACATTCCTGTAAGTTTTTTATTTAATATTTCATGCAGCGGATGAGTGAATCCGGTGAACCGAGAAGGTCCCACCGTAATCCCCCCCTCCTTATCATGTTCTGTTTGCATTTCGAGTGATTTCAGCCTCTCGCTTTGCCTTTCAGTTCACGACCCGGTCCAGATTGCTTATGACCGGCCACGTGGTTATTCGTCATATAAAAATAAGAAGGTAAAAGGGGCAAAAGTCCATTTTTTTTTAATTTTGTTTTTTTTACATTTAACTCAAAGTTGCATAACCTTGCAAAAGAGGGAGCAGGTGCAGTGAGGGGGTTGTTTTCTTAACCTGCCCTTGCGCACTGCTGCCTTTTCACGTTTTTTTTTTCCCGCCCCTCGGGACGCGTCTTCTTTCTTCAGCAGCCGAAGGACCTGGAATTCCAGCACAAGCGGCTGAACCAGAAGAACATCGGCTTCCAGATGCTTCAGAAGATGGGCTGGAAGGAAGGACTTGGGCTTGGGACCCACGGCGATGGCATCAAGGAGCCGGTCCGAGTGTACGTGGCAGGGCTGTGGGCCGCACGCGGGGCATTGGGCTCACGCTGGGATGTGCAAATCTAAATTGTACTGTTTTGGGGAGACACCATCTGTCACTGTGCTTCTTCCTGCCGAAGGAGATGAACTGGGGGGGGCAGGCGGGCTTGGAACCGATTCCCCACGGAGATATGGGGGTCCAGCTGTACCCCGCAGCACCGTTTCCTTCCTCTAGGGGGTGCTCTGGAACCCCGCCTCTTTTGTCCCAGGTTACCCAGGCTGGCTCTTCTCCCACAACACACAATAGGGAGGTCAGACCTCCAACCTCCGACTCCACAGCTAAGCATCCAACCCACCGAGCTATCCAGCCATCTCCTTCCGAGGGCAAAGGCTGAGTTGTATGCTGCCAAAACAGCGCCGTCCGCCGGCCCGAGTGAGCATATCCTTAAGCACCTTGCTGGCACCTTGAGTTTGCTAATTAGTGACGGTGGTGAATAATTTCTTAACTAATTTATTGTGCTATTGATATTCTTATTCTGTTTTTATTATGGCTTCCTTTAGAGGTTCTACCTCTGCCGGAGAAGGCTTGGGCGTAACAGGAGACAAGAAAGAAGATACTTTTGCTACATTCCGTCAGAGAATGATCCAGATGTATTATATGAAAAGAGCCAATAAGTAGGTAAGTGTGTAGATTTGACCAGTAGCTTTACTTTTGATTTATTGCAAGAGTTAAAATTGGGAGGAGGAGTATAGTAGGACCCTTTATCCATGGGAGATCGGTTCCAAGCCGATACTGAAAACTATGGATAATAGTGAATGTTATAGATAGCACGGTAAAAGAAAAGAGACGTTTTCACCATGTATTTACCAGAACTGGCTACCAAGGTTTTCTTGAACAATAAGAATTCATTGCTTGTTCTCTGGCTCCCTCTAAAGACCAGTTCTGGTAAATACAACATGAAAATATAAATTTCTCCTCTTTTTTTCTTTAAAATTTTTTAGATCGTGGAGAAGTGAAACTGCAGATTTTGATCCCACACATACGGGGGGCTCCTACTGTATATACCGGTGTTAGTTTTGGAGCTTACTTGTTGTTTGGGTCTTAATTCACTGACTTAAGGGCTATCTGGACTTTTAATGTGTATTTTTTTAATTTTTATTCATTCTGAAAAGCCAGAGTAATGTTGTCTGCTGAGGTGTCTCTCTTGCTCCCTGTTAGGGGCCTTGTGAGAGAGCCATTCAGATACCCTTTTTTCCCTCCCTTTGAAATTCATGAATTACCCTGGGAAGGTTCATAATCAAACACACTAAGAGAAGCTATCTCTTTTTTGGACAAACAGCCCTCCTTGCTTCCAATTAGAAGTGTTCTCTTGATGAGGATTGATAATATTTCTATTCTGGATGGGATAAAACTGACCGTCCTAGGTAGAGGATCTACCTACGTTTCTTCCTCAGGCTGCAGAAATTCAAGTTAAATTTTCTTTGAAATTGATTTGTGCCTAAGAGTAGCATTAAACCCTACAGTTTCTGTTGTCCAGTCAATTCACGGAGTGTGAGTTGTTGTTTAAAGAGGAAATAAGCAGCAAGTACCAACTGAATTCTCTCAGTCCTTCAAGGCTAATCTGTTTCTCACCTGTTGTTTATGGGATTTACACCTTGGGACCTTTGTTTGTCAAGAACATCCACCAGATATACCTCTGTTTAGTCTGAGACCTACATTTCCACTAATCGTCAAGCTGTCTTGATGGCCTTTTGCCTCTGCTAAGACCTTTCTGTTGCCCAAGAAAGCCTTTCTGGTGTTTTTTTGGAGACAAAGCTGTTTGGATTTGTTCTCCGTTGCCGGGACCTCAGTAAAGAATCGGGCGATGATGATTGAAGAGACTCGCCCTGTTCCAAATCGTTTCTTTCTTCCTTTAAAAAAAACTTTCATTAAGACTAAGATGGCAGCAAACGCTTCTGGTTCATCTATTGAAAACATTTGAGAAACATTTTGGAATTCTAAAATTCTAAATTGCAAAGTCCTGTGAGACGCCAGGCTTAAGAACTCCCCACCCAGCTCCTTAGTTTGAATTTAAAAACCTTTCAAATGCGTACTGCAGGACCGCGGTATCCGTGGGAGATCGGTTCCAGAACCTTTCGTGGATGACAAAAAACCACGGTAGTACCAGATGCTATACATTGCATGGTCTCTGGCTCCTTTTAGTAGCCAGTTCTGGCAAATACACCCAGGAAATACATATAAATGCATATTTCTGAGGTTTATTTACTTAATATTTTCAGGCAGCGGATAAGTGAATCATTGGATACCGATCCTGCGGATAGGGGGGTCCTACTGTACTTCCTTACCAATATGATCTGGCAGTCCTAAATAATTCATTCTCCTTATGTGTATCCGCAAAATTGATTTTATTATCTTGTCGATGAAGGTGGAGGACCCCCCTCTTTGCTCCCGGAGGTCTTTTTCCCACAATGGCCCTGTAACATGTCTTCCTTGCTCGCTCACCCTTCTTGGTCCTTCGTGCAGCTTTTTGCTGTGGAGCCCGGCGGTGGGGTGCAGCCTTTTTGGCGCTGAGCACTGCTGGCTAAAAGCGCACCGCATTGAAAGCGGTAGCAGTCACTGGAAAATAACTTTCAAGAAGCAAAAGAGTGATTGATTCGTCCCTTTTGTGGCTTTGTGAAGACCGGCGGTGCTCCCGAGGCATTGAAAATGGAGCAAATTCTGCATCTTTTCTCCTGCTGAGCACAAATGAACACAACCTTGAGTCTGGTCCTTCTCTGGTTACTTTTTCTCTGCCGTAATAAGTTGGAATGCTAGTTTCTTAACGCCCGCAAGCGGACCGAACAGACACACTTCTGCTGTGTTTCAAGCGGACCTCGTTTGCATTTTAATTTGCAACGGGGCTCGCTCTCTTCTTCCAGGTTGATGATTTCTCTGTGGGCTTGCACCCTTTGCACCAATCCAGATAGCTAGCGAAACAGACTCTCTTTGTGGGTCTGCTTTTCCCCATCCGCTCCCATCAGCCGAGATGCTGATTTCAAGGGAGGGGGGGAGAGAAGCGCCTGTCAAACAACATCCAGAGACCGGGAAAGGGTCTGGGATTTTTGACTCCCAGTTTCTGTTGGGTTTGGGAACGGCGCGGCTCTGCGGATTTGAGCTTGCTCCAGAGCCGCGTCGAAGGGGAACAAACTCTTGCAAAAATGGCACAAAATGATTGCTACCTTCCCAGATAATGATAGCCAGCCTTCCTTTTGCGAAGGTTTTGGCACCAAGTTAGTGGAGCAACATGAGTACTTCAGAATTCCAGTGTTGCCTTCGAATCTGTGCGCTTTGGATCCTTGGTGGTTTTGAAACCTGCTTCGGCAGGCGCCTTTTTTCATCTGAGTGCATTTGGAATATATATTTGTCTACCTATCTTTGAAACTTTTCTTTGTGGAAGCTTGTCGATTCACTGGTTTTCTGTTGTTCTAGTTTTTCAGGATCTTTGTCATGAAGATTACAAGCGTCCAAGAACCCATTTCTCTCCCGTCCTTAGGGAGTCTCTCTCTCTCTCTCAATCCTGTGTCCTTTTTCTTTATTTTTTGAAACACTAAATTTTTGAATGTGTTTCCCATCCACCCACCCCTTCCCTTTCCAGTGGCGTTTTAACAGTATTGACAATTGGTAGAAGTTTGTTAGCCGACGGCTGAATTAAAAGTTCTTTTCCCCATGTTTAATGGCATGTAATCCCTTTATTTCTGAAAGTTGAAAATAAACAGAACTTGGGGAAAAATGTCCAAGCTATTTCTTAGCCTGCTTTCAATGCCTGGTGGTTCCTTCCTTCGTCCATGCATACGTCGGAAGCAAAGCTGAGCAGGTGGTGGACGTCTGGATGCTGTCGGACTGCAGTTCCCACCATCCTTAGCTTTCTTCCTCAGGGCCAATAGGGGTTGTAGTCCAATATTCGGAGGGTCACCACATTCCATCACCATTACTTGAACCCTGTGAGGGAAAGGCAGAGAGAGTTCTCTCCCTGACCAATAAATAAAGTTATATATGTATATTTATTTTTTACACATCCTTACAGTGCAAGGCCCTCAAGGCTAACATAAATAAAAGCCACTATATATTATTATAACACAGTTGAACATATGATATTGAAAAGACCATCAAACTCAAACTCTTAAAAAAAGCCATCTGGTTGTTTTAAAGACCACATCAGAAGTCTTTTAAATATTGTACATTCATTAGAAGAATGTCAAATAGGCAGAGTCAAACGCTTTTTTTCAGCCCAAGCCTTTCTTGAAGGTCTTTTTCGGTGGAAAGACCTCAGGAAGGTCGACCTGGGAGCAGCATCAACCCAGAAGATTCTCCTGCCCCTCCTCGTAGAGCTCACGTGGGTGGCGGGACGGAGAGGGAGGCTTAAACAAAAAGACGCGGCCCTCCGCAGAGCCTGGATGCTGGTCTTCCGGGGGTTTGGGGGGCTGAGGGCCCTGGATGGAGACCCAGCAATGGGAACTCAAGAGGCAGCCTGGGGGCGGGGGGGGGAGAAGGAAGCTGAAGGCACCGTCTTAAGGTTGGCACGGGGAACCTTTCAGCCTGCAGATGGTTTGGACCGAAACGCCCACTGGCTGGGAGCATGGATGGCCAGTGGAAAGAGATGGTAGTTCGCCCGAGCCGCTGGAGGTTCCCACCCCTCCACTGAGGAGCTGCTCCGCTGAAGACCCGGTAAGTTTCTCCCTGGAAAACCCTGCACAAGCTCCCTCTGTGGCCAAGGGCTGACCTGGTTAGAGTTGAAATGAATGGGACGGGGAGATCGTGACTCGAGGAGTGGCAAAAAAAAAATCATTAGTGAAAACACCCAGCCCAGTAAAAAGGCGTGTGAACACCCAAACAGCCTGACTCCAGAAGAGCAGGCAGTGGAGCGTGTCCCAGCGGTGGGCTTCTTTCCTCTCCAGGAGCACAGCTAATAAATACAGTGACGCAAATCCAGCAGTAACTGGCAACTCGAGGAGGCCCACGAACGCAGTGGGACACCCCCCCCCCAATCTCTGCGGGATCAGTATCTTCAGAGCCGCTTCGCAGTCTGAAAAATCCCACAAATGTATTTCTAACGATGATGTTTCCAGGACTGGCCACAGGAGGGAGCCAGAGACCACACAATGGATCGCGTTGGCTAGAGAAATATATACCTGCCATGTCATTAGCAGAACTGGCCACTTGTGGGAGCCAGAGACCATACGATCAATCTCTGCGGGATCAGTATCTTCAGAGCCGCTTCGCAGTCTGAAAAATCCCACAAATGTATTTCTAACGATGATGTTTCCAGGACTGGCCACAGGAGGGAGCCAGAGACCACACAATGGATCGCGTTGGCTAGAGAAATATATACCTGCCATGTCATTAGCAGAACTGGCCACTTGTGGGAGCCAGAGACCATACGATGTACAGTACAGTGTTTGCTCTTAAAACTTTGCTAGAAACTGACCACTCGAGGGAGCCAGAGACCATACGGTGTACAGTACAGTGTTTGCTCTTAAAACTTTGCTAGAATCCACATTTTTCAGCATCTGCTGTGGGGCCTGGAGTCTATTCCTACGGATAGGTGGGTCCTACCATACACTTACTGCAAGTTGCAAAAGGTTCGTATCCAGTCTTGCCCTCCTGGGAGGAGGTGCATCAGATTCATGACTCCCAGCACAGGAGCAGGATTTGGTCCGTGCTTTGACCAGCGCAGTCTGGGAGGAGGTGCATCAGATTCATGACTCTTTCCCAGCGCAGGAGCAGGATTTGGCCCGTGCTTCGACCAGCGCAGAAGCAGAATTTGGCCCCTGCTTTGACCTTTCAGGGTCAAAGCAGCCAGCATCCCTGCCTTCCTGCAGTTAAAGAATACTATCCTCTTGAATAGAAAACGTGAGTTTATCTGAAGGGTGGTTTGGTTTCCTTGTTTTTAAAACAAGTCGTCCTCAGTAGGAAGCTAAGGGGGCGTAGGAAAGTTGTAGGAAGCCCAAACATGATTCTATAATGATTGCTAAGTGGCCTCCTTGCCTCACGAAACGATCTGATAATCTGTCCCACGGCTGCCAAGAGCTAATTCCATCAATTAAGCACTTGGGGATATTTTTCGAATCTCCAGTCGTCTTTTCAGGCCCAAACCGAAAGGCTGGCGTAGAAAGAGTACTTTAGGAACCTCCTCTTCAGTCCAGTCTGCTTCAACCCAGACCCAGAGACAGATCCATTAGGGATCTCCCTGTATCTGCGGGATCACTATACACTGATTTGCATATCCACGGTCTGGAAATATTAAACAGGAAAATCCCGTAAATATGTACAGTATTTCAAAAGACGAAGCGGCCAGAATACCTTTGTTTCTGTGTGTGTGGGGGGGGGTGTTAGTCGTGTTGATCTGAGGCAGCACCACTTTTTTAGTTCACGTCGCGGGACCTCCATGGTTTCCGTACCTTTGTTTCTGCGGGGGGGGGGGGGTGTTAATCATGTGGATCTGAGGCAGCACCACTTTCTTGGTTCACATTGCGGGACCTCCATGGTTTCCATGCTGAAGAAAAAGCTCCATGCAAATCATAGCAGGTCCCGGGAAGGCGCGAGAGCACGGCCCACAAACTCTTTTTTTTGCCTCCAGCGACATGGAACGGGAGCTGGTACCTTTGCCCCCTTTTAAAGCAAAAGTATTACCTATTTCTTTGCTTGTTTATTTGATTTATATCTACCGCCCATCTATTAAGAACAAAAAGACGTAGAAAGGGAGCTGCAGAAAATAAGATTACCGCAAGTTTCCTTCTGTAACACATGCTGTTTGGGCCATTGTGTGTAAAGGCCCTGCAGTGATCCAAAAGAGGAGGACACAGGTGCGTACAAACTCTTTCCCGTTTGGCTCAGAGTGAAGCTACCATCGTAGCCATGCCCTAGAAAGCGAGAGCCAGCATCTACTCTCACGCTGGTTTTTCTATCTATAGCCTGAAGCCAATTGCGGGCCCCCGGCACGCTTACATGTTTCTATAAATTGTGCCGCAGATGTTCAAAAGTACATCTCTTTGGTTCTTGACCCTGGCGGTGACTTTATTCAGCCGTTTCGAATAATTTCCTGGGGATTGAGCCAGTGATAACGTGGAGATTGAGGAATCTTTGAAGGACGGTTTTAAAATGTCTTGGCTCAACGGTAAGGCCGTTCTGCCGGGTAGATGTCACCAATGAATGGCGCTAGAGCATCGGCAGTTTTTTTTCTTAAGGCAGACTTTTCCTGCGATCCCAACCCCATTGCTTGTTGCGTGCTGATTAAATTTGCCAGCTTTGGAAAATATGTACAGCAGCCAAGTGGCCTGATGAGAAACCCATAGCAAGCTTCTTCTTTTTTTTTTCTCGATAAAAAAGCAATCGGCTGGCATCTTTGGGGGGGAAATGATAGTCTTTTTTGTTTTGTCGCTCTAGTTGGGTTGAGAAAAATAGAGGTATTCTGCATCACCCAGTGGTTCCCGAACATTTTCGACTTGCAGCTCCCTCAATGGAGTGGCCACTGGCCATGGCTCCCCCCACCCACCGAGGTGCTTGTCCCTCTTTATTTGGCCCTTGTTAGGCCTCCAGTTCAGTCTTGGGTGCAGTTCTGGATGCCCCCCTTCAGGAGGGATGCTGACCAACTGGAGCGAGTTCAAGGGACTGGAAACCGAGCCCTATAAGGAGGAAAGACGGAAAGAACGGGGCCTGTTTAGCCTCAGAAGAAGAAGACGGAGGGGAGAGAGGAGAGTGCTTTTCAAAGACTTGACAGATAGTCCTGCAGAGGAGAGGGGCAGGATTCGTCCTCTGTCCTCCCAGAGCGCAGGATGTGTCATGATGGGCTTGAGGAAGCGGGATTTTGGCTGAAGACTGCAGTGGCAGGGAGTTCCAGAGTCCCTGGGATTCCCTCCCTGGAAAAAGGGCCAATCTACATCTCCGTGTCCTTTCAGGTACCTGATATTAATCAATGTTGATTTTTTTCTCTCCATTGTTGCCTCCCTGAAAGAAAACACGGTGGGAATTTGCATTTGGGGGGTGGAAAGGGTTTTTTTCCCCTCCTCCTCAGAGACAGCCTTCCCCCAATTTTTCATGCTTGCAAACGTTCTGAAGCTTTTGGGCAATCGTTCAAATGAATCTTCCTTGCCATGGCCATAGGACTCCCCCTATCCGCGGGATCGGTATCCACGGATTCCCTGCACTACAGCCTGAAAATATTTAAAAGCTTTGGAAAGTGTTTGGAAACGTCACCGGATCCAAAGCCCAGGAGCCAGACTGGGTAAAAATATTTCAAAGAAATAAATAAACACTGGATCGGCCAGCGCCACCTACTCACTGCAACGGTTTCACATAATATAAATCAATTTACGCTGTGTGCCCTTCCGTGTTCTAGGAGTTTTAGCTTCTTTGTTGGCTTTCATGTTCCTCTTGTCAGCTGCAAAAGAAATTCTTCTGCAAGACAATGCTGTTATACAGTGACCTTGCTTCCAGACTCTGCTGGAGAGCTGGTTAATTGGTTTTTTAAAAAAATAAATAAATTCCCCAGTGTCTGTTGAAGATCCAGCCACTGGAACCTCGTGGTTTTTTTTAAAGCACAATGCATGTTTTTCAGGGCTGCTTTTTAACCCACCCACCCCAAATATCCCCTTCCTTTGTTTTGGGCATTCAGAACTTGGCATTTTAACCTCTTGGGAGCCTTGAACCCCCAGATTGTCGAGACCAGACACTCGGAAAGTATGCCCGCTCGGCCCACGGAACCGTTCCCCCCCATGTAGCACCGGAAAACGTTCCAAGGCGAGGTGGCCAACCCACATGGTCTCTGCATTGCAATTAGAAGCGCGCCTCGGGAAGGATTCCACTTGAGCCTCTCGCTTTTCCTACTGAGCACAATGTGCTCAAGCCTCTCTGCACTGTGGAAGCCCCCCGTTTGCTTTGTGTTCCATCATCCTTGCCCTGAGCCTCAAGGCCGAGCCAGGAGGCTTTCAAGTGAGAGCGAGGGAGAGAAAGCGTTGAGAGCGTGCATTGCGCAACTCTGAATGCTTCTGAATGCCTCCATGCGGCTTTGCTTTTCACTCTCCTCTTTCTCCGACGATCTATTCAGAGCACCAAGAACCCAGATGCCTCTGGGTGAAAGAAGGCTTGATGTTTTCCGCAGAGACATAGATTTTGTAAGTTGCTGTCATGTCTATAAAAAAAAAACACCATTGAGATGGCCCCATTCGAGGCCAGCAACACGTCCAGGTCCCGCTTTGCAAATCTATTAAAAGGCAGCCTTCCAGACAGGACAGGGGCAGAATCTGTCCTCCATCCTCCCAGAGAGTGCTGGGCGCGTCAGAATGGGCTCAAGCGACTGGAAGCCGGATTTCAGCTGGAGATCAGGAAAAAAAAACTTCCTAACTGTTAGAGTGGTACGACGACGGGACCCCATGACAATCGGATTTTTTTTAAAAAAATGTGTACCAGAACTGTCCTTTAGAGGGAGCCAGAGACCCTGCAATGCATACTGTGTGCTATTAACATTGTGTTAACTCATATTCATGTTATTCAGCATCCGTGGGGGGCAGCTTGAAACCGATCCCCCGCAGATACGGGGGCCCTATTTCCTTTTGCCTTGCTGCCAACGGGCGTTAATGCCATCCATCAGCTTCACTACCCTTGGCTCTGTTCTGTCTACCTTGCCAATTCCGGTGCAGGATGTTTCCGATTTCTCCATGGGGAAATTGGGTCTTATTTCCTTTTCTGTTATTCTACTGCTGGCACTGATTTAATAAAGAAAACAGAAGGTGGTTTATCCTTCTCTATCCCTCCCTCCACAGATGACTTCCAAGGCTCCTGGGTTTCCGTTACCTCTCAAGTGCGTGCCGGATCTAATTTTTAATCCAGGGAGCCTTTGGGTGTGGGAGAGTGATGGGGTCTCTGTGTGTTAATGGCAGGAAAACACATTAAAATTCCAGTAGACCCAAACCATCACACATGCAGTCTTTCTCTCTCTCTGAAAAACGTACTGAAATTGTGGCAGTTGTTTAATTTACTAAGCGTAAATACATCCCATGTGCAGTTATGAAAATGCAATTTGTTTATCCCTTTGAAATGCAAGCAGGACCCCCGTGGTTGCTGAAAACCCGTGGATGATAGAGAACGCTCTTTTAATAGCAGATGCTATACATCTCTGGCTCCCTCTCATGGCCGGTTCTGGTAACTTCATCTTTAGAAATCTCTATTTCTAGGGTTTTTATTTTTCATATTTCTAACCTGTGGATAAGTGAATCTGTGGATACAGATCCCATGGATAAGGGGATCCCGCTGTATTCAGAAACGCTGCCTCTTCTTGGCCTCACATCGGACAAGCCGGTCAAGATACTAACCGTTAAGAGGACGGCCGGCTTCATTGCACGAGTGGATTGGAAGGAAGGAAGCCCAGAACGAACGGGGACACATTCAGGGGTGCATCCTGCTCTGAAAACAGAGATTTTGGGGTTTTGTGGGTTTTTGGGTGGTTTTTTGTTTTGTTTTGTTTTTTGGTCTGCACTGATCTGAGCAGGTCTAGCAGAAAAACACGGGATAAATTGTCCACCTTAACCTAGCCTCTTAAGTGTCTGGAAGGAGGGTTAACATGGTTTATAATAATAATAATAATAATAATAATAATAATAATAATAATAATAATAATAATAATAATAATAATAATAATAATAATAAATTTCTAGCAATTCTAAACACGGAAAATTGGGTAAAAAGCATACAGCGAATTCTTCTTGAACGAGGCGTGCTCAAAGACTTTTGGAGGTGCCTCGTGTTCCGATTCCGCAGCCGCCCTTCATCTCCTTTGCTCTCGTCGTGCGCTGTCATTTTACAACTGATGTGAACCAGCAAAACACGTCGTGGTGCGCTCCAGACACCTTGGAAAGTAGGCCACGCGGTGCCTCCCCGACCCGGCACTCTCTGGCATAAGACAGCTCATTTTAGAAACTAATTATTGGGCACACATGGCAGATGAGATTAATTGGGCCATCTGCAGGAACCTGAGCAAAAGACCGGGTTCTGGGTCTCCACCTTGTTGGAAACGGGAGGGGGGGTCTCCTCCGAACTTTTATCCTGGGAGGATTTTTTTAAAGACTGGAAACGCTCAGCCGAGTTCACGAACGTCCCCACGAGGATCCGAATCAGGGTCCCGAGATGCCGTGGCTGAGTCAGAGGCTGGGCCCAACCCTGCTCCCCGAGTCAGCCATGGACTGGATCTTCAAAGCTGATTCCACAGGGAGGGGGGGGTGTCCCATTTTCTCCAACACTGGGATCGCTTGCTGCCACCACCACCCCCCGAGGTCATGGGGTCCTGTCATCGTCAACTTGCTCTAACCATTAAGATGTTTTTCTATGATTTTCAGCCAAAACCTGGCTTCTTATCACTTGAGCCCATTCTGACGAATCTGGCCCTCTGAGATGATCGGGGGACAGATCCTGCCCTTCAAGTCTTTGAAAAAGCGCTGTCCTGTCTCCCCTCCATCGTCTTTTCTCTCAAGACTGAACCGGCCCAGTTCTTCCCATCCTTCCTCCTCCTGGGGCTTGGGTTCCAGCCCCGCGATTTGCCTTTCTTGCCCTCCTCTGAACTGGCTCCACTTGGTCATCATCCTTCTTCAAATGGGGTGTCCAGAACTGGAACCCAGGACTCTCCAGGAGGCCTCACTCCATGCCAAACAGAGGTGGGACCGGCAGCTTGTGGGATTTGGAGGCTCGACTTCTGTCCATGGAGCCTAAAATCACATTGGCCGTTTTTGCAGCCGCATCACCCTGTTGGCTCATTGGATCTACAACCTATCCCAAGATCCTTCTTGGCCAGAGTCTTAAAGAGCCCAGGATCCCCCATCTTCTAAGAGTGTATTTGGTTCTCCCCCCCCCAGGGGTAGATCTTTGCACTCATCCCCATTGAATGTCATCCTGTCATTTCCATCCCCATCTCAGGTCTATCCAGATCTCTTTTTTTGGATTTTGTTCCTGTCTTCAGAGGTGCAAGCGATTCCACCCCATTTTGTGTCCTCAGGGGCCCGATCCCAGATCCTGACCCCCCATCCTGACCCAAACGTGTGGGGTGCTCCCGCCTGCTCTCCAGCTTTGGTTCCATCTGCCTGTGGGTTTCGTGGTGGTGGAGGAGCTGGACTGCATGACCTTTGAGGTTCTCCCCCACACACCCCAAGTCTGCCCCTCCTTCCTCCGAAACAGGGCATTCCCGTTTCTCTTCCGTCCCCCCTTTTCTTGGATCGCGGCGCCTGGATCGCGGGTCTGGGGGCGTTGCCGCCCCGGCGCTCCCCTATCCACGGTGGGGCAGGGAAAACCCACCCATGCTCTTCCAGATTTTGGAGCGGGGTGTGGTGGTGAGGAAGGGGGTGGGAGTTCGGCTCCGGAAGGGGTAGCCTCCTCAGCCGCCCGCCAGGGGGCGCCCCAGAAGACCACCCCCCCCCCCCCCCCCGTGGTTGGGGGGGAAAGAGAGACAGCCTCCAAAGCGGACGCGGCCGCGGGAAGCGAAGAGCGGAGAACAAAGGCTGGCCCCGAGGAGGATCGGAACGAGGGCGGGGATCCCCATCCACCCCAACCCCTCCCACCCGGGGATCGGGTAAGCCAAGGGGTCCCCCTTAAATCCTGGGGGCAGTGGAGGGGGAGAAAAGGGCGCGATCGCCCCTTTTCCCACGGGCGCGTCCCAAGCCTCTCTGCCACCATCGGGTTCCCACCCCACGGCGTCCTCGGAAGTTCCTCCCGGCGCGATCCTGGTGGGATGGGCAGGGAGATCCCTCCCCA